TAAATTACGTTTTTCGTCAAAAAATGTTGAACAAAGACATGTTTTTCTCAATGCCCTTGACTAGACAAGGTCCTGTCTGACACGCATGCGTGGCCATATCAATTAAATACGAAACTAAATACTCAAATGCGGCTTATAAAAAAGGTTCTTGTTGAGGTCGACCATGACCACTTAGCTGTGTAACAATGTGGTGACTATAGTCGACAATGACCGGTTAAGGGTTAAGCCAACTTCAGAAATGGATGGAGTAGAAAAGTAGGACGTTAAATCCCACTTCATTTTATATATTCACTAAATTTGCCATTTAGCATTTCGTAAAATAGATGTTTGATCATGTGGCTATTGTTTTAGTTTGGAGAGATTTTAAAAATTCATCCCATGCTACTTTAGTGAATTACAGAAGACTTTCTGAATTATAAATATTTCATGTTATTTCAACTAACTCAAAAAGCTTATATTTTTTGTATTTTAAGAAATGGCAACTGATGTAAACAAGGGGTTATAAAGACAGTTTTAATACTGATTGACACAATAACCTTAAATATTAGTTTAACCATTCATTCAATTACAATAATACATATGGCTAAGTTATTTGAGCATCTTCAAGATTTATATAATTTTTACTTTCGACTGTAGTTCCTAAAATTTCTAAGAGCAACTTATGTGGATATATTGCTGCAGTTAGTTATCTCCCTGCATCTAGCTATACTTTGTCGGCAGGGAGTCAAAAGGTTGTATTTAGCATATTTTGAGAAATTCCCTTTTTTGCTACTTCAGAATGAGAATTTTCTTGTGCACCTTTTCATCTAGGGATTTTATAGATATTGTTTCAATATCTTTAGAAACACGTCATTTCGAGTACAACATTCTGACATGACATTTCTGTATATCACGATTGTTAACCTATACGCTTTTTTGTCACGCCGGGACAAAATGTGGATATGACCTTTTGACTCTGCAGCAACGATATGTCACAGACAAGATGATAGAGTAATGAGAATAAATAAACATAATACATTAATATCAACCAATACTGATATAGAAACATACATACAGTGGACATCCATAGAAGAAGCTACTTAGTCTTAAAATTGTCAAATATTATCCCAAAATTATAGTGGCTTCTTAACCAGGCGGATTGTGAAATATTATCCCAAAATTATAAACATCATCTGGACGATAGTCAAATATCATCTCCAAATTATTAACACAGGCCTGCCATGATGGCATTTACATCTGAATAGAATCTGGTCGTACAGAATAGAATATTTCTAATAAATTTAAATTTCTCTTTTTTCCAATTCAAAATTGTCCATTTTTCTTCAAAATAGTATATTCTACTTATAGTATAATGATTAAATCTAAATACTGGTAGTATTATGCTGATAAAAATCATTTCTGATCCGGAAAAAAGAGGAAGAGAGGAATGGGGTTTGCCATCCACTTGACACAAACTAACTAACAGATTGTACAATTTTATTTCAATATTTTGCTTGCGCGTAGGAGTCTTTAAATAGCAGTGGAAGGAATCCAGAGTAAACCCACCAGACAGATGATCCTACTCCTTGTCACGTACACGCTTGGGATTGAAAACACGCTGCTTGACTAAGGAGTGCACTACCACCTCGCCCGATCCTGAAACAACTGAAGAAGATATCAAGAATGTTCTAATCAAAGACACACAAATTTCTCTATGAACATCCACTGTAAAAGAATGGGTGAAGAAGGAAAGATTAATCTTGAGGCTAACACAAACAAATAATCACACTGAGACAGTTTCTGTCGTGGGTGGAGGGGGGAAAAATTACATATTAAAGAAAAGAAAAAAAATGTCAAACAAAATAAAAAGCAAATACTTGGTTATATCACAATTCTAAGTTATGTACACAGTTTAAAATTTTTTAAAACACAATGAATTTTAACAGATAATAAAAAAAAACAAGCTAATTATAATAAAGCAACAGAAAGCAAAGATAAAATTAACAGGCGTACTAACACACACACACACACAGGGTGATTTTGCGGTAACAAAAGGTCAAGTTTGGCATTAAGAAGTTTTAAAAGATTTTGACAATTTCTTACACAAGCTATACAGTTTTACAGTAATTAGGATTTTTCTTACACAAGCTATACAGAGTTTTACAGTAATTATGATATTTTGCGAAGACAAATTGAAATTCAATACAAGAGTACCATTATAGAAAATGTTGAATACATATTTTGTTTGTTTTATGTGGATTATAAAAAAATAAACCACATTCTTGATATGTCTATTTAATAGGAATGGCCTGTAAAGCAAGGCTTTATAATTAGTCTTGGTTCTCCAGTAAATTTAATTAAGCTAAAGACAAATTACATGTTGTGGTTTTTATATGCATTATTTGAAGTTTCATTTTAAATAAATCTGAAAATAGTCAACATATTATTCAATACAGATTAGTGGCATTAGAGTTATCCTCCTTTTTTAAAATATTTAACCAAAATGATTGGTCATTAAAATATTTGAGTTATCACTTTTTGACCATGTCAATCCATAGTATGTATACTACCAAAATTGTTCTGTAACTGCAGCAAAAACCAAAATTATTTATGAAGTCTTAATATCAGTGCATTTTCATCATTTCACTCCGTATATTTAATGATTCCAAACCTTGTAGAAAATCTCACTTCAAACCAACCATGGACCTTATAAATTCATTTATGATGTGTGTCCGATGCTATTCCCCTCGTATACACAAAAATAAGCAACAACTAATAAAAACTATAGTACAAAATTAAAATGTACAGGCTATGATAGCAAGGTCATGGTCACAATATATACATCTACTTCTCTTTAATACTACTTACTATCTACTACTGGTTCTTCAAGACTACACTTATAAACCTAAAGTCTTGTACATCCAGAGATATATATTATCTAGAACTATTAGAAATTCATTGTAAATTTCATACATAAAGATCTTCTTTTAAAATGAATTAGTGATAGAAAGTTAAAAACCATTCCACAGAAGCTGATAAGGGGTCACAAAATCTTTTTTTCTGAACATTTTCTCAACTGATCAATATCGTGACAAAATTGTTAACAAGATCTCAACATTATTATCCTTAGATCTTGAAATCTTTAAGTGACAATTTCTAGATAATTGTGTTGGGATCTTTAACATCAGTTTTTTAGTGAAGGTTATCTCAACATTATGACAAAATTATTTTCAAGATCTCAAAATAATTAGCCTTAGATCCTGCCATAATTTTCTTGGATCTTGAAGCTCTAGATAATTATGTTTGAATCTTGATAACATAAGATGGTGTCCACTTTTTAAACAGAAACTAGAGATTTATGAAGTGTAGTCTGAAATATTTAACTGGTATCAATTCTGACCTCACAATAAATTTTTCACAAACTCAAATTAACAAAAAATATTACAGATAATTAAATACCGCGCTATTGAATAAATTAAAAATTTCACATATACAGATATATATGTCTATTTATCATCTAAATTAAATAATTTACTAGTGAAAATGAATGACCTTAAAGAAATAAAACCCTTACAATTTGTATTCCCTGTCATCGATAATCTACACAAACTATTTTCTCAGATTATTTTACTATTTACAATAATTGCCCTATTTATTTTATTATTGTTTTATACATTATTTCGACAGGAGATCAGGAGCCTTTTATTCACAAAAACTTATTCACAAATATTTTAAGAATTCAACCTTTTCATTGGTCAAGATCTGAAATTTGTGCTGCAATTTTAGTGCTTGACCAATGAACAATCAGTTTTCTTAAAAACAGGTTTTTGTGAATTTTTGACTGGCCAAATTTCTTTACTTAAAGTTCTATCCGAAACTACAGAGAGAAGAACAAATATTTTCTTTTTGTTTCTCATTCAACAGTTAAAATATCATTCATACTCTTCTTATATACATGTACATGCTACAGAATGTTCATGAAATTGGCAGTGTAATGCTTTCATTAATTAATATGAAATTAAATATTTGGTATAAGGATGCAATGATAAAGTTATAATATAGATACAGTGTTTGGCCAACGCAATATAATTTTTAGTTCTTTGAATTCTTAATCAGGCCTCTAGTCTAGTTCATAAAGCAAAAACAGGCTTAAATTAAGAATTTACTCAACTTTCAATCACTGTTTATGAGAAATATCTTTGATCCAGAAACACTTAAATTTGCACATAGTTTCTTATTGATGTATTTGGTACATTGAAACAACAAAAGATTTATAAAGTTCTATATTTTAGTTAAAATAATCAAACAATTTTTAGTAAATTCTTAACTTAAGTCTGAGAATGCTTTGTGAACACAGGGCCTGTAAATAACACACTCAATTATTGTATATTGTTAAAGTTGTAAAACTGAAATATTTTAAATTAAAATTTTTTGAGAAGAGCTATTAAGTTCTTTTTTGTTTTTTAAATTAGTTTTGGCCTGAAGAAATCAGTGGCATAATATTTAATGGGTGTTTCCAAAAGACAAAAAATCAAATTGGTTTGGCCTTACTGTCTGTTACTCAACTACACATACTACCAACTTCCGATCTGAAACCGCTATTAAAGACATTTGCATCAACTTCTGCTAACAGTTTGTTAACTCAGATTTTAAGCAGTAGTACAAAAAAAAAAGGGTAACATGTGAAAGTTTCAATTTGAAATATTGATTATTAGTGAATGATTTAGGATGATAAACGTGAAATAAATGAATGAAGCATCTACATAGAGGGACTAGTTGCAATAAATCATTGAATTATGTTTACAAGTTAAAATGGTAATATAATGGATTTAAGATGCTTTAAAAATTAATATATAGTACAGGTAGAGGGAAAAATGGGATTTCACTAGAAGCTGACATTAAAATAATCTTAAAAAAATCAACACAAAAATATTTTAATATATTAAATAAAATTGGGTTTTGGACCTAGTATAAGTGTTGTTATTATGATCAACAAAAATCAAGTGACAGTTTCTCTAAAATAAAAAAAAAAACAATTTTAATATAAATTGTATAAAACTTGACATTAAAATTCACTCTCATCTGAGCTAGGAGTTGATTGCAAAAGTAATAAAACGAGTTACAAAATGTAATTAAATATTTTTTTTTTTTTGAGAAACGAGCCTTAGGACTCAATCAGGCACATAAAAGAGAATTTAATAATTGAGCCAAGGTAGTGGGTGATTTGAATTAGTTAATTATCTAAGAAAAGATATTATATAAAGTTGTGTACATAATAATTATCTGAATCTTAGATATTTAAAAGAAGGGACTTCAATTTAATTCTCTTAAAAATTTTTTTTGTACAATTTGCAGAACGCTGGTGGATATTAATAATAGAAAAAGAATCATGGGACTGTTGTCAAGGCGATGTTTGATTTAAAAACATAAACTAGCCTCTATACTGAAATGTTATGCTGCTAGGAAGTAGATCCTGGGTTTCCGTATTGATGTTCAACTACGAAACAGCGTGTTTCAGTCTCTGTCATGTCTTCTTCTGTGATGTCGTGAGATTCACGGCTCATATCAGTTAATTGACCGATGTCAGACATTGTCATTTCTGCCACGGTGTCACTATGTATGATGTCTCTACGAACTTGGCTCGCTAAAAAACTACGAACAGGTTCTGAAGCTGGAGATTCACTCCTACTAGTGTTATCAGTAAACACGCTATCTGCATCGGAAAAAACTTCCAGTACCGCTCCTTCTGACGACGCCCTTGTAACCGAGGCACCGGACTCCGCATTGGACCCCTGCTCTCTATCTTCTGATGATTTAATGTCTTTATAGTTGGGCCCTAAAAACCAATCAGAACGCTGACGCAACCTTTCTAATTGTTTACGTTTCACTGAATTAAAGCGACTTAAACTACGACTTTGATAAAAGCTTTTTGTTGTTGTTTCATTTAGATTGTTCTCCATTGACTTTGGTCTCTGAAATATAATAATAATAATAATAAATATCTATATTACTCTCATTCTCAATCCATCCAAACAGTATGCTCATCACGCAGGTTTGTTAAGCTCTTAAATTTAAGAACAAAGCCTGTTTCACAAAATTTTAACTAAGATAAAATCCAAATTTTAGTAATTTGATTGGATAATATTAGATTGATTTTAGTGCTTAGTCAATCAAAATTGAAGTATCTACTAAAATTTGGATTTTATCTTTAGTTAAGATTTCGAGAAACGGGGTCCAGTTTTATAGTTAACTATTTATAATATGATTTAAACAGATAAAATCCGACTAACTTCTATCATACAATTCTTTATGTAGCTGACAAATAAATATCAGTGCATGGCGCAGTGGCGGTGCCACAATTTTCCACTACTATGGAACCTCCTGCCAGAAAATGTTCAAAATTCCTAAGGCAATATGGAGCATGTCCTAGATAATGAACACAATCAATAAAAATAATTGTATCTCAGCACTGATCAGAAAAGGGGAAATTTGTTTCATGGAGGTTGCTAGAACAATTTTAGTCCGTCACGTACGGATAAACACATGCTGACCAACCCTGCTAGTGCCACTGACAGTAGTCATTATGTCAACTGTAAATCTTTAACAGTCGGTCTATAACGTCTTTTAAACATGATTTCTTATAAAAACAAATAAACAATGAACATTTGCAGATAAAACAGTTGGGTGGATTATTGAGGGAAAGGGCCACAGTGACAGCCAATCTACTCACCTTAGAAACCTCCGGTGAAGGCATCAAACACACTTCTGGTGCAGAAGCAGTAGTAACAGTTATTTTGAGCTTGGAAGTTTCCCCGGTCTTGGAAGAGGTAGACACATGACGGCCTGATTCCGGTGAACCTAGTTCTGGACTCTCACTTGGATCGTGTTCGTGTTCCTGATGGACATCACCTTCAACACGTGTCATCTCAATAAATTCTGTAAAATAATAACACAAAATTCACAATCACTTCTGATATCATTACTAAGAGAGATATAAATGGGGTTTAATGTCCACTAACACATGGTGCAATTTTAGTTTTACTTCAAAAATTCACTTGTGCATAAGGGTCTTTAGCAGAGGAAATCTGAGGACCCCAAGAAATCCACGTGGTTGGACAAAGGCGACCATACTCCTTGTCACGTACAAGCTGGGAATCGAAACAATGCTACTTGACTCAATAACAGACTTTTTGATCTAAAGTGTATGCTTTGGACTCAGAACTGAGGTTATTGTAAACTTATGTATTCCAGAACCTATTTTTGAATGAAGATCCTAAAGGCATCAAACACTTTGCTGGGGGTGCGGTCTGTGACAGAACCTATTTCCCGCAACCTAATTAATTCTTAGTTAATATTACTTCGCAAAAGCAAATTAATGCATCTTGTTCATTCTAGTCTTTAATATAAAATTGACATAGATAAACCATGGAATACATCATATAAACATTTTGCTGGTTCACAGTCCAAGTGACTAAACCCGGCTACCAACTCTGCTATTTTTGTAGCATTCCTTCTTAACTATTAACATTCTTTATAGTTGGTGATAAAAAACTTAGTTGAGAAAACATTGGAGTTTAAATTTATTTGATTTCAATTATTTCCACATTACTGGCAGTACATGGATTATATCGATAACATCAATGTTTCAAGCAAAAATTTGAAATCAGGAATGCGGCCAAATTTATATTGACACACTATCAAAATATCTAATGCATAATGTCATCGTACGATTGGACAGCTTTTGAACATAATGTACTTGATAACTTGCAGTAATCAGAAAGTAAATATGGATGATTTATAAACGATTATAAAAGCAGAGCAGGGATGTTGAGGTGTAGCATCAACTAAAATAAAGCCATGTCTGTAAGGGTAGAGCAAACCATAAAGCCATATTTAAAATAAACAAGCCAACAGTGAGGCTGATGTCCCCCGCCAAAATCCCCAAATAAATAGATTACACATATTAATTAATCGCACATCTATTTTTTTCCAAAGTATCAAGCAGTCAAACTGATTATCAACTATACTCTAAGTTTCATCACTCTTTATCAGATAGAATCAAAGTTATCTTGTCCCAAAGCAGGAAATTGCTTATCTTTGCTTAGCTTTAGCTCGATATGTTAATCATTGAACTCAGCAGAAAATTCTCATCATCGAACTTAGTCAAGGTATTGATGTAATGAAACTATACACCAAGTGTCATCACTCTCACTTAATGAGAACTAAAGTTATCGTGTACCAAAGCATCGACCAATCAAATTGCTTATCTCTGCTTATCCTAAGCAGAAAATGCTGATCTTCGCACTCCATCAAGGCATTGACCTCATAAACCCCTACACCAAGTTTGAACATTCAAGCTTAATTAGAAGGAGAGTTATTGTGTTCCAAACTCTTGGCCAATCAAATTGCTTATCGCTCTGCTTACCCTGAGCAGAAAATGCTCATCATCGAACTTAGTCAAGATATTGATGTAATGAAACTATACACCAAGTTTCATCACTCTCACTTAATTGGAACTAAAGTTATCGTGTACCAAAGCATCAACCAATCAAATTGCTTATCTCTGCTTACCCTAAGCAGAAAATGCTTATCTTCACACTCCATCAAGGCATTGACCTAATAAACACTTACACCAAGTTTGAACATTCTAGCTCAATTAGAAGGAGGGTTATTGTGTTCCAAAGTCTCGGCCAATCAAATTGCTTATTGCTCTGCTTACCCTGAGCAGAAAATGCTCATCATCGAACTTAGTCAAGGTATTGATGTAATGAAACTATACACCAAGTTCCATCACTCCCACTTAATTGGAACTAAAGTTATCGAGTCCCAAAGCATCAACCAATCAAATTGCTTATTTTTGCTTACCCTAAGCCGAAAATGCTCATCTTCGAACTCCATCAAGGCATTGACCTAATAAACACCTACACCAAGTTTGAACATTCTAGCTCAATTAGAAGGAGAGTTATTGTGTCCCAAAAAGTGTGACGGACAGACAGACAGACGGACGAACCCATTTTAATAGTCCCCTGCTTTCTTTGAAAGGCGGGGGACAATAAATGTAAAAGGAATTTAAACTACTAATTCTATTGACTGACCCATATCCTCTAAGCATGATCTTTGACCCATAGCGCTACTTTCACTGTAATCTGAATTAAATATAAATATACAAGTTATTAAAGCCTCTAATTACTGATAATTAATGTTCTTGTATTTTCTTGTGCAAAATGAAGCAATGCTCATTAACTGAAAGATCACTAACTATTACTGAAATTTCAATTTCTATACTAAAAGGCATAAAAGCATTTAGATTTCACATCAGTGCTGCTAGTGAAAGGTCTAATGCCAATTCCATGCTTTTAGATTTTTTCTTGCGTAAGCAATAAGTAAGTAAAATTAGAGAAAGGTAGCTTTATGTCATATCTATGTCAAGTTCAACACTAGAGAGTTATCCTGTGGTAAAGTAGCATTTAGGTTTGTAGAGCTAAAACTATGGAATAGACTTCCATATTCTATTCGCAGCAGCAATACTATATCATCAAATTTTATTGTATTCCATAGAATTGTGTTCTGTGTATTCTGAATTCAATTATAATTACTAAATGACATAGAAACAATTTACTTAAATCACATCTAACCAAAACAATTTATCACCCATTAAATGAGACCCAAAATCTAATCTTCTGCCTACCTCTCTATTTTCAGAATAAGACTTATTGACATCATTATAATGTAACACAAACCATATGTAATATAAGCCATGCACCTCTACCATCAAGATTTAAACTTTAAGCATGTTTTCTGCATATTAATAATTGATGATTATAATAAACACAATACATTTATATGGATAATAATTACTGGTTTATTATAATAGCGATATTTCAACCATAGTACTCGCGTCTTTATCAAGATGGGAGTACCATTCACATTGTGTTGCTAGTAAAATCCATATAAATGTGTTATGTTGTTTTCTGCTGCTAGCAATGAATGAATTTTACACTACATTTACTACAAAAAAAAGCAGTGTTTACTATGCGAACTCCTCAGGCACCCATCACTAATTACAGCTGAACGGAACAAAAGAAAAAAATGTCTATAAACTTGCTCAAGTTTCTATTGAAACAATAACAAGTTATAAGACAGTTTGATTATTTTATATAAAAAACACAAAACAAAAACAATTGAGCTTCATTAATACATGTATATGTTAGTAAATTTTTATTTGGTTCCCCAATATAATCTATCTATTGCATAAAACTAATTTGTATTAGAGGAAGAAGATGTATGAGTTAATTGTTTGTTAGGCCACATGATTAGTATTAGTTAATAACCTAATGCATGAATGTATTTGTTAGTATCAGTGAGTGCTTGTAGTAACACAGAACTGAGGACACCGGGTATTGACAGACAAGGTATTTAAGACAGTAAGAGTTGACCTTACCGTCAGATTTTACACTAAATCCGTGAACTTTGGACTCTTGGCACAGGTGAAGATAAAACCAACGTAACGCTTCACCACCTGACAACATGCAAACAAAAACAAACATGCACGTGAAAGGTCAAACACATAAGGGGAGTAGGACAAGTGCAGAGTTTGGGAGGGGGTGTGTGTAAAAGGGGACACAATCACACAATACTGTAGTCTGTTGCCAGATTTTTGTTCCCATCGAGCTGCTTTTCTTTCCTAACCGTGAAAATGTATCAAATTACATGCACTTCGAAAGCCAATTTTTTTAATTGAAATTTAAATAGCTATAGAGTTTTTGAAAAACTGATGTTGAGAGTAGTACTAGAACGATATATCACGATTTACATTTTGGTAATAGTAATAGTATAATACACTGTTCTGACATTGCACTGAAGAACTCTGTCTCAACAGATGTCAAATATATCATTTCTACTTACATGTACATGAAAATACCAACATTAATGTGTTTTAATATCTAAGATGGTGTAGCCAAAATACTATGTCAGCACCAGTTGAGAAATAATTTTGATCTAATATCAAGAGATGTGATCTAGTAGATAGCATGGTGTAAAATCTTATTCTACTACAATCTATTGTATCCAGTTCTATCATTTCTCCTCAAATGAGGGAGCCACGTTGGCTCAGTAAGTATGTAATGTAAGGCGTGGCCAGATAATCTGAAGGTCCGATTTTTGATCACAGTGTTGGCCGAGAAGGTTATCTGAGATATTCCAGTGTACATAAAAATGACTGAATATGAGTTTAAGTTATTAAAAGACAGACATACTATCGCCACTTTAAGTTCACTTGTATTCTGAATTTCAAAATAATGTATTAAATTTTTTTTTTACAGAAATATCCACCTATACATGTATCTGGCAACAGACTAAACAGTAAACAATGTGAACTGTGAAAACATCAATAACAGTTATAAAGATTCATAAATTCAATCTTAGTTTTCTAATTCCAAAGAGAGTTAAGTGATGTTTAAGGCATAGATAAGCCAGCCAAATATTATCATCAATAGTGACTCATTCAATCGATATAAGTTTAGAAGAAAGAAACTATAGTTAGTAAAGTGCCAATGGTTAAGAGTCTTAATAAGACAGAAATTATGTTTTCTTTATTTATGATGGTAGTTCACAGACTACCAGTACTCTTGAATTCACTTACAGAATAAAAAATACATAAAATAAACAATACATACATGTATAAACAATACATGTAAACAATGACAAATAAGGTACATGTATCTATAGACAAATTGATTCAGATGCACTTTATCCATTTTCTGGTAGTACAGTAGCAATAACATATTTAGAGTAATAAGTAGTACTACATACTTTTACTACCCCCCACATTAGAATCAATTTGATCTACAATGAAGGGCCATTTATACTGAGCGCGAATGCGACTGCAACTGCAACAACTGATGAAACTGCCGCACTTTGATTGGCTTGTGAAAACTTTTCTCAAAAATTAACCGCTGTTTTCCGTGCGAAAATAAAAATTTGAACAATTTCAAATAGTAGTTTATCAATCAAATGTGATCGATGCGTTCAGTATAAACGACCCTTAACAGGTTGGGTAACGGTTACTACAAAATCAACAGTAAATAATTCACAGCACAGGATAACAATTAAAATAAACACCGTAGATTACGGACTACTGTCTAATAGGATAAATAATAGCAAATTTTGGAAAGGATTGTAGGTGAAAATTTGATAGTGGCCAGTTCATTGTTTTATCAATCAGTCTTTTTAAACTCTAATCAGCTGATTAAGATCCCTGTTTAATAACCATGGTATATTACATGTATTTGGTAAATATACGTTTAACTTTTTAACTTAACATCAAACATAACAAACATGTAACACAAACCATTATTATTATACACCTGTGCCATTGTGTTGATCAGGTGAAATGTGTAACATCGACTGTCTCTAATTGTAAGTTAAGACAAGTCAACAGTGAAGCTTGATGCCTTCCGCCCACACCCCCACCCAAAATAAATAGAGGACACTCATAAATTACTCACTTAGTTCTATGCAATTACAGATTCCTTCACAGTATGAAGAACTATGATTCTTTTTGTTTTCACTGATACTTTCCTATTTGCTTTGTTCTAATTAATGTTGATCTATTAACCTTACAGATTGGGTAACAAAATGGCGACCACGGCATGGCCGCAGTTAGGATTAATTACAACACAGTAAACTCAATCCTGGGGAATTATAGGTGCAGTGTTAAACATAAAAGTCAATTTGATTTATCCACTGATCAAAATCTGAAAGCCTTCTCAATGGTTTATAGAATTTCATAGATATTAAAGACTTACGAAGTAGAAGTTCTGAGAAATAAAGTCAATCTGAAACACTTCTCAATGGTTAATAGAATTTTACATACATTAAAGACTTACGAGGTAGAAGTTCTTCAGATGGATACTGATACTGGTACCGATATCTCTCACGTATATGAATACCAGTATGTGTGGTTTCTGTAAAAAATTCAATATTATCTCTACCGAACATACTCGCTACTCCAAAGTTATCAATCAGAATTTGCATCAGACGACTGGCTTTTTCAACCTTGCCCGGATCGGCAGCACATGTGTGGAAGACACTACCAGCACAACTTCTAGACAGAGCTTCAACAGACATGAAGTTTATTTCCGCATGATTCACCATACGAAACCATGTACCAAATAATAACGCTATCAGATGTTGATGAGGTTCACTTAAAGAGTCTATAAATCTGAAAATAGACAAGTTTATTCTTTTTAAAGTCTCAGATTGTTAATCCATTGCAAACTATTTTTAAAGTTCAATTGAATCCGAGCTGGAAGATTATCTAGCGTCGATATTTTGATTTTGTTTTCTTAATTAAATGTTAACTAATATATTAGATATTAATAAAAACAGAACCCAATTTTTGTGTGATATCAATTACTGGTTTTATTCTAAAAGCATGACGTTTCAACAAGTATTCTCTTATCTTTATCAAGGAAAAATACTCCAAAAATAACAAAGATCGCTATTACTAAAAGTGAAATACTTACTCATGTACAGCCTGACATTGTTCCGATTTATGTCCGATTGTCAACACTTGTAGTAGATGTTCTTCTCCTTCAGGTCCAAAAATACCACCTGGTAAACGCAGTAAAAATTTCTACAAACAAAATATTGAAATTTTTAAAATATAATGATCATATGTTTCCCGCAAAAGCTCAGGTCTTTAACAATGAACTTTTGATGACAATTGGTATTGATGTATTGTTATGGTAGGTGACCCACACAGTCAGAAATGGGCTCTAGTAATTGTTCAACCCCTTATTGATAATTTTATCAAATATACCATGTAGAGTGGCGCTGGTTTGTTTTAGTAAGATATACAATGTATCTATTCGAAGATCATGCTGACAGCATGAATAGAATACTAGTTATATGTTTCCTTTGCTTTTATTTATTATTATTTATAAGCGTTTATATAGCGCCATTTCCACAAAAGTGCTCAATGACACTATACATGTACAATAAAAATAATTGACAAAACAAATATATGATTAAAACATAAAAAAGTGAATAATATACATAAAAGTTGAGTAAAAGGAGTAATGTATAAAATTATAGATATAATTATCACAGGGATGATTAATTAAAAGCCCTATTAAACAAGTTGGTTTTAAGAGAAATCTTAAATGATGACAGAGAAGTACATAGACATGACCGAATGGAATAAGGAAGTTTATTCCATAGTTTTGGGGCAGCAACCTCAAAAGTCTTCTCGCCGAAACTGACGAGATTAGCATTTTTCTCAATAAGTAGCAGATTTATAAGATTCCTAAAACTTTTCTCGCCCTTATCTTCTGAATACAGATTTTTTGTCTCGCTATCTGTAAGGTTTCATTTAAATCTTAATAATCAAGACCTTTCAATCAGCCAGATAATGTTTGACTAGTTTCAAATCAACAATATATAGCTCAGTTTGAATTTGAACATAATTCTAATTTCACGGTATTCATTCAAAAGTTATCTCCCTCTAATGTTTGATTTCTATTAATCTTTTTAATGATCTTGTGAAATGAAATGAAATGAGGTTTAACGTCCTACTGTTTTGCTCCGAACTGGGCTAATGAAGACGGACATGCGCCATACAGTGTGTTAGAAGGGAAATTTTGCCTGGACAGCGTCACTATGGCCTACTCTTATATCGAATTCCAACTGTCAAGGGATCTTTTACGTGCACGCCAATGTGTACACTGGACCTCGGTTTTTCATATCATCCGAATGACTAGACAGCTGTTCACATCAGGCCCTCCGTCCTGCATCACTGACAAAGGGGAACCACGCCGGAAAATCTGGATGAAATTTCTCGGCCAATGCAGGGATCGAACATCCAACCTCCAGGCAAGCGAGCATGCGTCTTACCCACTTAGCCACCGTGATCCCCAATGATCTTGTAATCAACACTAAATCAAATAAAGCATTTAAACATGACTGTTTATTTAATGTCCTACCTTTACAACCGAAGCTAACGTATAAAAACTATAATTAGAATAAATGACTGTCTTTCCCTCCGTCAATCTCTGTACTATTCGTCGTGTGTCTTTAGGGTTACCAGGACGACGAAACAGATCCACTGTGGTACAACCCTCTCTAGCAATATACACCAAGATCTCCTAAAATACAAACAAAATTAAATTATGTTCTTTTCCAGGAGTAAATGTCAGATCCCTAGTAATACATACACCTACAGCACTGTTGACCGTGTTGGCTCTAAAATCAATGTCAACACAAATCATAATATTGAGTGACATACTAGCATGTCCATGTATGTATTGCATAAAATTATCTCAGAAATCAAGTATTTACATGCAACCTGTAGTGATAATCATAATATTGAGTTGCATGTAAATGTACTGCATGAATTTATCTCTGATGTCAAGTACATGTATTCAACTATTGATAATTATAAATTTGAGTGGCATGTCAATGTACATTTGTATATATTGCATGAATTTATAAGTATTTTCATGTAAGTAGCAATAATCATAATATTGAGTAGAATGTATATGGATGTATTGCATACATGTAAATTTAGCTCTAAAGTCAAGTGATTAAGTATTGATAATTACTACAATACATTATCAATATTATAACTTAGATCATTCACACGAAAGTATTTATAGGCTATTTATTCTCCAATAAAAGTTCAACATATTTAGAGACACTCAATTTTACTAGTCAAATACTGGATTCCCTGAAACACCCATGTTGTATGGTTGTCACTGACAGCTTGTTGGCTCGAATGACATAAGGAAAGCTTCTTATTCTTATGTGTTCATCAAACATTTTGAGAGCACCGAGAGAATTAAATGTCCAGTAGACTCTTGAGATTAAACCACAGAAAAATAGTTGGCAGAGTATAATCCAAGAATTTACTTGGACTTCAATATTTATGGTAAATCTACAGTGACTACTGACTACCAATAAATACAAGCTGAAAATGGATTCTCCCTCAACCAAACAAGGCTGCTTAAAATTGATTCTTGCGTCATGGGGTGATTTTGTTGCAATTAAAATGTTTTGAGAGGGTTATATGATGCAAATTTTTGATACATGTAGATAAATTAGTTTGAAGATGTTTTTAGTCCAAATATATCATCAAATCACACAGTTTGTATGCAGTAAGGCATCATTAAGAATATTTAATTAGTGCACAAAGCATCATAATAGGAATAACAAATTCAACTTACCATAAGTGGTGAAGGCAGATAGCCATTTTTCAAAGCGCTACTCAATGGGGCTCCAAATTTTAACCTAAAAAAGAACGAAAATAGAAAATAATACTAAACTTCTAATTGTTTTTTTAAAACTTCTTTTCAATTCTAAACCACTGGCACTGATCGACAAATTTATATGCTAGAGTGAAAAGTAAGCCCAATAAATGTTCATGTAAATTTAACATCTTAAATACATGCATATTGAGTGAAATCTACACCTGAGGATACCTACTTACATGCACCTGTAAATAATTCCTAGAATATGCCCATTTCTGACTCAATTTGTAATCCCGAGAATATTCATGGATCATTTTGTAATCACGAGAACATGCCCTTTTCTGACCCATTTTGTAATCACAAAAACATGCTTATTTCTGGACCCTTTTGCGATCATGAGAATATGCCCTTTCTGTCTCACACTGGTGACAGAAGCAACTAGAATCAAAACCTGTATTTATTTATACATGTATGTGAATGTGTAGGAAGTCGCAAATCACTGTTTTACAATGTAAACAAAATGTTGAAACAGGCTAATTTACTAAAATACCATTTTCTTATAGTTAGCTTTATTTATTAAATCTAAAATTTTACATTTCATGTTTCATTTAACAATCATATCTTTAGCCCATTTCCATATATTTTGGTTCGTCATACATGTATCTTATATAAATGTCAAGTAATTTCCAACTTATTATGCTGTCACAGCCTCACAGGCCACATACATGTATATTATATTTTGAAAACTAATTTGCTAAACACTCACACTCACTTTCTCACAAAGGATGTAAATTGTATATTATAAATTATAATATATATCATATTTTGAAAACAATAACAGTACACTTACTTTCCAGATCGGTAGCCATCAACTCTTGAACTACGGTCTGACACGCAGCCCGTGAACACTGTACGGAACATAGCCATACTACTGTCTACACACTATTATAATAACCATGATGAGGACAATTTAAACAGGTTGATATCCGTAACTAGTTAATATAACAGTCATTCTGTAAAACTCCTCTATACTCTAATCCTTATACTTTCATCAATCTCTCTCTGTAAATACAAATGACATCAGCACTATTTCAAATTTATTACACTTTAAATTTTCATTATCTGTATAAAACGGTATTTTTGATGATGACAATTAAAGATGCATTATGTACAGGTAAGAGCTAAATATGCCTATTGTATGTCTTTATTTTGGCTTCAAATGTAATATAAATTATTATTTAGTCATTTATTCACATGACAAGACCATAAATCAACTCTCTTAGATATTTAATTGATTTGAATAGAACCCTCTTGCCATTCAAAATTTAACGATAAAATTGATGATCAAGACTTTGTTTATTATTGTAGTAATGGTACTCTACATGAGAAACTACACATGTACATGTATCATGTTAAAACTTAAACACTCACAACTTTGCTCAGAGTCAGAATAAAGTAATTTGACTGAAATTTTCAATATATTCATTTTTGAACTACATGTACATACATCATGTATTATGGCAAGAACAGTCTGCTCTAAATCTCACATAATGCATCTTTAACATACATGTACAGGCATAAACTACAGATTTTAGTATTCTCTATTAAAACAGAGAGTCCATAAACACAGAGTCTTTAAATGTATTAATTTATCTGTAAAGTTATAAAAATATTTTATTTCTATGCCACCCACTGTTGATAAGCTACATGTATTCAATGTCATATAAATGTATATATATATATACACATCTATATACTGTTAATTCTGTGTGACATTTACATTTTCAGAAAATATCAAATTTTCCACAGCTTAATCAATAACGCTAAATTGTGCTCAAATTGATTATTTAACATTCAATCCGTTTAAAAACAGGCTTATCAAAAGATTTTAGCAAAGATTATAGCCTATAGGTGGGCCCTGGTTTTGACCGTATCCCCATTATCGTAATTTTCTAATTCATGTACATTGTATCTTTGAAAATACTGACCGGAACTGAACCATTTTTGCACTGATGCTCCTCTTTTAGAAATTCAACTTTCCACAATCTGTCAAATCTGGGTCAAGATCAATATAAATAATCTTCTTTGATTGACATTTAGTAATTGAACATAACACAAGCAACGTTTCGACAAGGATACTCTCTTCTTTATCAAGCAAATGATAAAGACCAGAGTATCCTCGTCAAAACATCGCTAAGTATTAAACTGATTAATTGTGTATCGATAAAATTGTACCATGTGTTAATATATATAATGCTTTAGAAATGGGGCCATGGTGAATGAAATTTGTTTTACAGCTCAGCTGAATTCTTATGATTGTAGTCCGGATTAAAAAAAATCATAAAGTAACTTTTTTTGTGTTTTGGGAATTATTTACTATGACAGACATAATAAAGTATGGTTTCTGCATCATGTATTTACAAATCACCATTTAGGCCAACCCTAAAACTACAAATCAAACAATTCTTTACTTATTATTAATGATTTATGATGTATTCACTTCATCAATCAATGTGCTTTCAAATTGTGTATAGACAATGTTAACTTCTCCTGTCATTTATGTCTAACTTTAAGACAATGTATTTACATAATTTTTGGCTTATACAATGCAACATCTGTGAGATACATGTTTTCACAAATAATGTGTTATATGGTAGAGAACACTCTTAATAACAATGATTACTGCCATTTACTGGTAGTACTCCTTCATACAGACAAACATGTAGTACACTCGAATTCCGAGCCACATAGACGTAATGTGTAAGGCGTTAGCTCACAAACTAGAGGTTACATGTACATGCTTGATTCAGTGTTGGCCAATAAAGTGCCTCAAGATTTTTAGGGGTGATTTCCCATGTCATGATACACTATTACAGTGTCTACTTGTTCTTATGGGACGAAAAAAAAGGGGTCCTACATGTTGGCATGTCCTTTAAGAGAACCCTTCAAAATAAGAGCAAGACATAGGACCATTTTCACTAACCTGACTGATACAATAAAGTAAGATGTTAAACAGCTATAACAATAACAATAACTTACATGTAAAGTACGCAGTGCAATGTAACTGTAAGGATACATACTATGCCCAACCTTATTTATGAATCAAATCTTAAATCTCTAAAAATAGGCTATGACTTGAGCTAAAATCAGACTTGGTTACCAAGATACATGTACTCTTAAAATCTATAGTTGAAGATAAATTGATTCTTTTTTTTTAAAATTAGGTTTTGATAATGGCACAACTCACTTGTAAATGGCGTGTTCTCCACAAAAATATTTTAATCAAATAAATATTACATCAGTTGTAAGTGTTCGTAATTCAGAAATAACATATGATTTGTCTCTTTCTGAAGCCTAGGTCAATGAGTGAGTGACAAACTTCCTTTCATATACCGGTTTACGATTTGTCATATCAAAATATCTACACATTTTTGTAGCTCTAGCATCCATCATGTTGTAACCAATATGAACACTTAAATAATATTAGTTAATTCATGACTCATTATGAAAGTATTATTAATGACAAACACCATTAATAATGATAAATGTATATAAAGTTGTATCAAATATAATATAGACATCATATATTGTAAATATAGTGTACATGTACGTAGGCCTATGTAATAATAACTGCTGGCTGTTTAAACATGCATTATGCAAGAGCTATATCTGCAGGTCTTTCTTTGGGCCTGAAATGTTATCCAAATTATTAATTGAACTTTAATTAACTTATCCAGAACATAATCAACTCTCAATGCCATTGCTAGCTTGTGATATTTACTGGATTTGAATACATTTTGTGGTGGATAATTTAACGTAAAAATGAGTAAGCAAGACTTTGCTATCATACATGTACCAACGTCAATAATGATGACTGACTGAGACTACATGTAGCTTAAATTCAATGGCTAATACACGCATCTCAGTCCAGAGAGAAGCAATTTGACAGAAGTTTTCAGCATATTTTGCTTTCATTATCTATTTTTTAACTATTATACTATAGCGAAAACTGTCAGCTCTTTATCTAATCTTACCTAATTCCCCATTAATATACTTTAATTACATGTATGTTTCCAGCTGCAAAACCCATATTTTGTAGGAAAATTCTGACCAACCACTATAGCCTACTCTTATTTCAAAGACCAACTGTCAAGGAGTCTTTTATGCATGACATGTGTACACTGGGCCTTGGTTTATTGTCTCATCTAATAGCCCGTTCAGACGCTTATTTTTAAACCAGTTCATAATCGCTGGAGTTTTTAAGACAGCATCGTGTTGCGTTCACACGTACTGTAAGCCAAACTAGTTTAACTATTCTGACCTCTTCGGTCGGAGGTTAGAGTTAATTGCGCATGGGTAGCTTCATATTCTTTATTCAGTTCTCGCACGCTTTAGTTAACATTGGCACAGTCTGACCCGATATTTTCACAGGAATGTAACTTACTGCGTACTGCGCATGCTCAAAGCAAGCTGGAGCTGGGGTTTTTAAGCCAACCCGTTCAGACGGCTAAGATGAACCGGTTTAAAATAAAAAGCCTTCGCGAAGACAGGTCGCGAGCTGGGGTTTTTAAACTGGTTTATTTGCCCCACATGTGCGTTCAGACGCTTAAGTTAAACTGGTTTAACGATCCCCGGGGTTTTTAAACCAGTTCAACTTAAGCGTCTGAACGGGCTATTATTAATCTGAACGACTAGACACTGTTCCTTGCCTGGCCATCAATCCTGCACCATTAACAAGTGAAAACTACTCTGAAAAATCCTGACCTGAGGATCAAACTCTAGAACTCAAGGTAGCGAACCAGCTGAGACACCACAACTCCCTAGTAAATGATTAAATGCCACCATAGTACAATTGAATAAATGACTTAGTTTTATCCAAAAATCCTTTATAAAGATTACATGTACATGTACATGTAATGTATGAACATGTAAAATAGAGCTCAAACTAAGCTGTTAAAATCTACATGTGGCAATTTAAAACTGTTTTAAATGTGACCCTTAGGATCAAAGGTCTACAGGAAATACCAGTAAGGTTAGTCTTTATGTTAGTTTGACTCCAATCTCTAAATCATTTATCAGCCAATTATAAATGAAATTTGTCCTGTTTTTTTTGGGTTTTTTTAATACAATTGCATTTTGAAAAACACAACACAATCTACAATGTATACATGTATATATATGGAAAACAATCACTGGTTTGTACACATATAGCAGGACATTTTGACATTCTCTTATCGTTATCAAGCACAGCTTTTGAACTACCTATAGAAACCAGTGATTGCTTCTAATATAAATTGTGTTGTGTTTTTTATTGTGCTCAATCACTAAATGCCACTCAAGGATTATAATTAATAATTACGTATGGTTTACACTTAAGCTTTAATAAAACACACCTACATGTATATTTCTATTATATTTGTACATAAATTTACATGTGTAATCTTTAACCTTTCTGTACATTTAATCTACAAGAACATATTTAACAACTTTCTAGCAATATTATGTATTTCTTATCATACTGTTTAATATCTTCCCAAAATGAGTTGTGAAAACATTAAATGTCTAAAGTAGGCCTATAAGTATTACTAATTAGAATATGTATTGAGTAGGTGAAACAAGGCTATCTTTTATGTAATATTTAGTACTTTCAGTCTGAACATGTTCTGTAAGCTTAAATAATGACTACAGGTCTTAAAAGGCATTTTTTAATAATAGTATTAATAGATTCCATTCTAAAAGTACAAAATTTGTCATATTTTTTTGCAATATAAAATACTAAAGTCAGTCACTATCTAATTCTGGATAAAAAGATGAAATGAAATTTGGTTTAACATGCTAGTTTTCTGCACGACCCTGGCTAATGAAGACTGAAATATGCGAAATTTTGTCCTATGTTATCTTTATTTCGTATTCAAACTGTCAAGTATTCTTTTACATATACATCAACCACATGGACAAAATCCTAAAGAACTTCTTTGGCCAACAATGAGATCGCACACGGAACTGCCTAGTTAGAGAGCCAGCACCTCAATCAACCACTGCAGTTCCCGGATAATTGAGTAACATGAAAAAACTTTTTTTCTGATATAAGCTTAATAATATTACTGTTCCAAATTCATGTTCTTTCCCACAAATGAATAATTATTAATAGGGCAATTCCACGGTAACGGACGTACATTTTGAACTCGCCATATTTTTATTTCTTCCAATATTTTCTAACCATGAATACTTAACTGTTTGAGTTTTATATAGCATTAAAGACATATGATTTCTGTATCAATTGACATATAATTTAATTTGTTCATGAACACTGGAAATAAATATTGGCTCCTCAAAGTATAGGTAACGGACGTACAGAAATGAACACCATGATTTGCCTGCATGAACATAGTTTCAAAACTCTGTGAATTGTCTTGTGGAATTTAAAAGTTTTAATCCTTTTAAGAAAGGGCACTAATACTACATGTGTACTGCATAATCACTTCTCACATTTGGATTTTTGTAACCCAGTAAATTCTCAATTATTGTGGTAACGGACGTACATATTTTCTGGTAACGGACGTACGAGTGCAAATTGCTAACCCATTACATGAGATATGTAAACTTTCAAATAATCGAACTTATAGATAATAATAATAGTTAACTCATTTGAATTAATGGAGTAGTTACTTTCCTAAAAACATTACTCCTTGAATGAAATATTGTGACCCTAAAATTTGGGTAACCGATGTACATTTTTACCCTAAAATTTGGGTAACGGACGTACATACATGTATGAAACCCTAAGTAATTCAGAGAATTTTGGCAAATGATTTCTTTTTACGGTCATAGTAACAAGAATGTGTGATGTTGGCTTTAAATATGAGTTTTTGAACAGTTCCATAAATAAATATGAATGAGGGAGATAAAATGGAAATATTTGGTAACATGAAATACTGTGAAAAGTAACGAACGTACATCTATGAAAACCCAAGATATTCTGAGAATTTTTGCAAATCTTTTCTTTTTACGGTCATTATAGTAAGAATGGGTTATTCTAGCTTTAGATATGAAGTTTTAAATAATTCCATATAAAAATATGAATGAGAGAGAAAAAAATGTAAATATTTGGTAACGGATGTACATTCTCAGAGTGATATTTTTCAATGTTGGTTACCTTCACAAAAAAATATTATTTTTATATTTTAATGTTTAAATAATATGTTTATATACATTGTCAGATAAGTAATGCCAAATCATTCATTATGAGTCAGAATAATCAAACAAACACAAAGTAAGAAAATACAATAGAATTATAAATTCGACATTTACAACGTAAACCTTGACACAAGACCAAATAAAAAAAAAAAATCGGAAGAGTTTCAACCCAAATTGAGATTTTTCTTCAAAATTTCGATTATTTCCCACCATAAAACACTATTTTTGTCCACTTATCAACTAATTAAATTTTTCACCTAATTGTATACTTTAGCGTGGAATTGCCCAATATTATACAACTACCACCAGTATGGAGAATCTTTTATGTTCAAAATCACAGCAATGGATTGGGATTTATTGTGGAATTTTATCTGTGAAGAATATTTTAGGTACTGTACACAATTCAAATTTCATTTTACTATGGTACACTATATAAAAATCAGTTTTATTTTTGATCTAGACCAGTGAGACTCAATCCTAAAAATAAATAGATCAGCAGTCACCACACATATATTATCTAATAACATCATCTTTTCGTAAAGCATCGATCAATCTAAGCTTCTCTAAGCAGAAAATGCTCATGTTTAAATTTTGTAAAGTTTCATTACTCTTCCTCAATTAGACTCAAAGTCAAAGCTCTGGTCTTGCTACTTTTGTAAAAAAAACCAAACAAACCCAAAACCCGCTTTTTACTCTGTTACAGTATTAATTATTTTAGGAAAATAGAAAACAAAAAATAATTGAGTTTAACATAATCATGTCCATTTTAACATTGTAAATGGTATACTGCATCTTTACGTTTCTCAAAATCTAACTGATTTTTGAGCATCAATCCAATTGAATCCAAATTATCTAGCGTTTGATTTTGTTTTCTTACATGTAATTTTATGTTAAATAATCAATCTAACTAACTACATTTTAGAGTGGAAGAATCGCCCATCTCTACCTATCTTACATTTTAGAGTGATTTAAGCCATGAGAAATTTGATATCTTCTGAAAAATCCAAATCATGCAGAGGTAACGATTTATGTAAAGGATTATGTCACACTAGTTCAGCTCTGAACGTAAGTTCTTGTTACAATCACCCTGTATAGACCTACATTTAGAGCTAAACTAATGTTTACAGATACTACTTTGTATGCAAGGTTTCCCTATGCCAAGTGGGAGCCACGGTGACTGAGTAAAGCGCTTGCTCACTAAGCAGGAGATCTAGGGTTTTATCCCAGTGTGACAGTTTGAATTGACTCCCAGTGTGTGTTTGCTCCTGGGCACTTACAAAGAAGCTATATCTACTTCCGGTGGTGTGAGATGGTTCCTGACCATTGATCAGTTCAGGAAAAAGTAATACGTATTTGGTTAGTTGGAGTTTTGTCATGAATAAACGGACTTGTTATCGTGATTAGCGTTTTTTAGTGATCAGTAGTTACACGATCAACGGATCTATGTTGATAGGCTTGAAATTAATACTTCTATCGTTCATGATTTGTTGCCGTTGTGTTTTTTTTTTTTGTGGTTATGTTACACTTTTTGAGGTTTTATGTTTTAATAACTAAAAAAAATTTGCAGATAGAATATTGGCCTTTATATAATTGGGATTTCTCTGAATCAGTTATTTTAATTTTCTACTTCTTATTAAAATTTTTACAATATAGCATATATCTGTTTTATTACTTATATTAGGGGTTTCAGGTCTCGTGACTTTGAGTGAAATCCGACAGTCAGCGGCTGAAATATAGTCCATTTCAAAACACGATTCTAAATTACTATTTATTTACATGTATTAGTAGTAATTGTATTTTAATAGTTTAATGTCTATCTCAATATCTGCAAAGATTCAGGCTAAAAAATGTAAGCGAAATTACTGTTTATGTACGGGAGACGCTCACGGGAAAATATCTCTCTGAAGTCATGCGACCAGGGATTTTCCATCAACACGAATTACTACGGCTCACTTTATTTATTGGTGAATCCGCGCCTTGGTCAATTTGTATTTCTACTTTTTATCGAAATAAACAAACAATAGAAACTCAACACCCTCTCCAGATAGTAATATGGTAAATATTGGTAGATAATAGTGTAGAAACCGATTTGACCGTAAGAAAATCTTACGGGAAAACCTATCACGGGGAGTCAATGCACACCGTGTCCATAACGGTGTGAGCTGACTCCTAAAACTGTGCATGCGCTAAACGGTAATCACACACCAGGATTCTCACACTGTCATATACCAGGATTGACTAATAAAGTTCATCGGAAAGCTTTGGGTTTCGCCTTGTCAGTTGTTCAGGACAGGGGGACTGGCAAGGAACAGTGCCAAATCATTTAGATAATACGAAGTCATGTGTACATGTTGGTACATTCATACCATAGCTTAGCAGTTGGAATTTGAAATAAGAAGAGGTCATACCACAGCTGTCTAGGCAGAATTTTCTGTCATAGCACACTGCATGGCATATGCCCGTCATCATTAGCCCTGTTGATGCAGAAAAGTAGGATGTTAAACCTCAATCACTCAATGACCGAGTCCAAACCAGCCAGTGTCAAATACGAGACACAAGTAGCCTAGGGCCTACCGCAGTACCCTAACGTGTAACTGCGACATGCAGCAAAGTAATTGCCTATTTCCACAACAGCCTTGGACTGAGCAAACATGTATGAAGCAAAACACTGTATTATTATATTTATAACTATAATCGGCCTACAATTTTTATAATGTTCAGAGTAATATCCCTTGAACTTGACTTGTGATTATTGGTGCAGTTTCATATTGGCCCCTATTTTGGAAAAAAATTATCGAATATTAAAAAGATATTCGAAATATTGGTATCCCTAGATATTTAACAAATGTCTTGTATGGCTATAAATTGTAAAATATACCTTTGGTGATAAGAAAAAACCTCAGTACGATGGTACAATTTGTGTGACCTCATTTATGGCGCTTCGACCCACACAATCCTCGGAGATCAAGGGAAATGAACAGCTTCGTGTTTTACCTGGTTAAAGAATACACAGATATTTTTTGATAACGTAACTTTGCAGAATTGCGTATAAATAGATTTAAAACTTACATCCCTTGGGTAAAATATTCCTGTTGTCTACATCATGGCTTATAATCATCGAAAACAGGTCGAGAATTTTTCTTTCAACGGTCAAATACTCAATGTTGATTGACCCGGAAGTTAATATAAAACGTCATAGGGGAGCGGTAATTTAAGCCAACTGTTGCGTTAAAGTGCAAATACCGAAACATGTGCAAAAACCGCAGTAGAGATTTATATTTTTGAGTTAAAAGTAAATTATATAATGGACACTAACACGCACAGATGCTTATGCACAAATAAAATGTTCAATTATTGTAACCACACAAATGGGCGTGTCGTTATCTCCTTCCAAATTCAATTTAACTAGACCGGTTACAATAACGGCGGATCCTGAAGGGGGTGGGCGTGTAAATTTAAGGCGTGTTGTATTTAGCCATAGAAATAGATGCCGGTACTGTATATATTTCTATGGTTTAACATCATGGTCACGTACAAAGTTAAAGTCTCAATACCACTCTTGTTGTAACTGAATAATATGTCCTAATCTTTATTCTGGTCAACAAATTGTACTATTTTACAATATTCCAATTAATTGATGATACAAATTTCATCTTAACACACGTAATTTAAAAAAAATGGAAAAATTCAACTAAATGATTTGAAAAGCCTGACGTAAAGCTTTTCAAATGTGACTTGGATTTAAAAATAATTTTGAACCCTTTGGACAAGTAAAATAGGATTTAATGGATAATTTACACTAACACATCTAGTACTTAGAATAAGGCTATTTTTTTATTTTCTGGAGCTGTCAAGCCAGCAAGAGTGTTATTGTCCCTTTAATGATATTTTATCCGCACGTGATAAACGAAAAGTCAATAAACGCACAGAGTTAATACAATCGGCCAATAAAAATGGAAAATTTCCCTTTTCCAGTGAGATTTGGATAGTTTAGCAGGTATGAAAATCTAAAAACAAAAACCTTCAACCGCTTTCAAAGTGGCAAACAGAAATTGTGCTCTATTGGAGTTGACCACCTATGCTTTTGTTAATCGCTTTGGAACTTTTATATGAAAAACGTTTAGTTATTTCTAACAAGAAAAACTCCCAATTTCGATGAACAATCCCACCGAATTATATCAAGAACATTGTCCTATTTCGCGTTCATAGGATTGCACACGATTTTCCTTTCTAGTGCATTGAAAAGCAAAGATGGAAAAGCGTTAATTCAGTCATTAGGATGGAACGCAAAGCCATTGTTTTAATTGCGCCGTTACAGTTGGAAATCGCCGATGTCATGACAAAATTTCCCGCCTACCACTCTATGCTAGCTGCAGAGTAGCGGCGTCTGTCTAGTCCCAGGCACGTGCCAGCGCCTAGTTAGTACAGAAAACTAGACGTTAAACCCCACTTAGTTAGCAGATTAAAGCCAAACTGATTAGGGGCGCATCCGGGAGTTTTTGCAGGAGGGGGTTTGCCAGATTCTTAAAACAATGTATCTTTGGGGAAGGCGGGCGGGGTGGGCTGGGTGGTCCCCCCCCCCCCAGCTTTGAAGATTTTTGAGAAATATATGGTCTTTATCGCCATTTTGGCGTATATACGCCTACATACACACTGGGCTTTTTAAAAGAGAGAAATCCAACACCCCGTTAGACGTCAATTTTTATTATGAGTTAATACGATCGATCACATTGATGCAATGCATTAATTATGATATCACATAATTATGTATTTATCATTATCTCGCGCTTTGAATGCCCATCCCATCCCACCATCTCACGATAAAGGATAAAGCACATGACCGTGACACTTTTCCCTAAAAAAAAAAAAAAAATGCTGTTTTACAAATTTTTTATGTTGCTGATATTCTCTTGTTATATTAAATTCTGAAACAATTTTGTAAATTATTAAGAAGAATAAAAGGTTTTGGCAGCATACATGTAATGTATAGACAAAAAAATATTTCCTATTTAGTGTAAATTGGTACATAAAATAGTAGGCTACGCAAAGGCGTAAAATGAGTAAAACAAAAAACCCCCACCAATTCTACCCGGGCCAGTTTGTCTTATCGTATGATTTGATGTCACACATAGACCTATACTGCACGTGAACGTAAAGGTCAGTCATCTTGTACAGAGTTAAAAGAAGGCTCTCGCATTACCGGTACTTATGACACAGATTGGATTTAGCTTGGTATATTTCTAGTCGGAGACACAAAATTACGAGAAAATACGCGAATTGGCGAAAATTTTCACTTGAAATTGATAATTACGACACATGTGGGTATGTGACACGAACATAGGCGTAGGGGGGGGGGGGGGGGCAGAGCCCGAAATGCCCGAAAAAATTTCGGGTTACAGACGGCGACGCCGGTCTTTTTTTTTTTAGACATTTTTTTGAAAATTTGACGGCTGGAAACGCGTTTTGCTGCTATTCCAGCCCCCAAATACAGCAACGTCACAGTTCTCTAATATAGCCTTCCAAGCAATCGTTTTTACAGTCCATGGAGACGGGACCGTCGGGAGAAAATTTTGAAAATTTAACTGCCGCAAACGCGGTTTCCTGCTATTTCAGCCCTTGGATACAGCAACTGTGGTCTCTAGATAGGGGGGCAGCAGAGTTCGTGACGGATTTCTTTTTCAGATTTACAGGGACGGTAGCCTATTGTTCTTGATATGATTTTCTTGGCTCATTGGGTCATATTGAAATTCACAATCCTCATCCCTGCCTAATATATCAGTCCTTGATGGAATCACGCGGGTTTCCACGCTATACAATATTCGAATAACCATTTAGCTTATAGCGCCTAGCGGTAGGCTATTTATTTCAAATGGCCGGAGCCGCATATAATATTCGAATATTTATTTAGATTACGGCTATTATTTCAAATAGGAGCCGCGGTGGCTTAGTTTGTGACCTGGAGGTTCCGGGTTCGTTCCCGGTGTTGGCCGAGAAAGCTTCTCGGATATGACGGTAAAATTGGTTTCCCCTTCCTTATCACAATGTCAGTGGGCCTGGCTAGGAATAACGTCGAGTGAATCATATGGGACAAAAAAACCGAGGTTCCGTGTACACCCTTAACAGTGGGAATTAAATTGTTGTCCGGGCAAAATTTCCATCATGGCGTATGCCCTCTTCATTGGCCCTGTTGGTAAAGAAAAATGGGAAGTTTAATTCATAAACCGTCCATTTATTCAAATATAATCCATTCGCGGAGCGTAGATTCTGCCCTGGATGCTCATGTCTACTACAGAGAGTCATCTCCCTTACCCCAAGGTTAAAGCAAAGAATTAGAATAGAAAGCATGTCTCCGTAACAGTGTTTAACGTTAACAGTTTTAAACATAGTTATGTAATTTAAAGGACACAAATTAATTTAATAACATAATAATGGGGAAGGCGTGGTCTTCAGTTCGACGATATGCAAGAAACTTCAACGCCGAAAACCGAGCTCAAAAAGCAATAGAAAAACGAGAAAAACAAAAAGTTGTTGCTCCTCGACATCAAAGCACACAAAATTTACTGAAAAATTTTAGTGAAGGTAAAAACAATTTATTGACTACGCCCGTTTATGTCATGCGTTAGTGGACATTGGACATTGGTATCTATCAAATGAATGATAACTCGTTCACAAGCAAACTCATCCACACGAAAAGTCTTAAGTCGTCAACAAAATATCAAAATACATTGAGTCGTCTACACACTCATGGCGATTTAGTTTGTTATTGGGCGAATATATAAAAAAAAGAATGCCATATACAATGTATTTCAGGCCACAGTTTAGTGGTCAACTTAACCAATGATTGTGGGCGACGTAACTGGCGCCTTATGGCTTATCAAATTAGCATGAAAAACTGTAAGCTTATAATAGTTCTTGTATGAACTGTGGAAAACTACAAAATGTAATAATAAATAATTCTTCATTATTTTAAAAATCGATTTTCTTGTAGAACACCCAGAATATCTAAATGAACAACAGAGGAAAAATGAGAAACTGCTACATAACTTGAAAGACCTAAAAGTTGATTCATTTGGCCCACCACCTGAGGTAATTACTGACATACAATATTAAGCTGTATTTCAATCTTCATAAAGTCATTTGGGACGTTGGCCCGTTAGCCTGGAGGTCGCGTGTTCCATCCCTGCATTGGCAAAAAAAGTCTTATCAGGATTTTCCGATGTTGTTTCCCCTTGTTATTGGTGCTGGACGGAGGACCTGACAAGGCAGCTGTCTAGTCTTTCGGATGGGACGAAGAACCGAGGTCCTGTGTACACATTGATGTGCACGTAAAAGATCCCTTGACAGTTGGAATTCGATATAAGTAGGCCATAGTGCCACTGTCCGGGCAGAATTTTCCCTCATAGCACACAGTATGGCCCATGTTAAACCTCATTTCATTTCATTTCCTAATATTTCTGGCTTAAATACTGTGTAAGATTCTTGAAAATAATACTGAAACTTTAGTGTTGGAATTTGTCTACAAAAATCATTCCAAGACCCGATTTATAGGGCCTGGGAAATAAGAAAATATTAGAAAAACAGGGTCCGTTGGGTAACTGTAAACACTACTAGTATTTCCTTTTTGGCGTTAAACTCTTGGCAACATTGTTAGTGAACACAAATTCAAAGATAATATTCAAAGCATTTGTCTTTTTTTTTTCAAAAATCCCAGATTCGGTATACAAGACCATTTCCAGCAAGTAGAGAAAATCCTACAACACCTGAATATGGAGTGCAAGAACCTAAAATAATACCTGTTGGTAAAGTTAGTATAAAACAAGCCATAGAAATAATTACCAATCATCGAGTGTCACCAACAGAACATTCGTCAAAAACTATTGCTAAACAATACAAGTTACAGGAACCAATAGTTGAACAAGTATTAAGACATTTTCAGACATTAAATATGCATATACCCAAGGAAGTTTTTCAACAAGATAAAACACTATTAGGAAAGCTTAAAACTTTGCCGTTAAAGAAAAAGGTAGAAGAACTACCCAAGGATTCTTTCTATCCTCTCCCTAGTGGCAAGAAAAGTGAATAGTTTTTTTTGGGGATAGAGGTCTGAAATAGTACCAGATATTTTCAACTTGTGCTGGACATGTATTAATAACATCAAAAAAACATAACACGTGCCAGAGGTATTGTGCCAGACATTGTCTGTGACAGGTGACTTATTTCTAGGCATGTTAACTATGTTTGTGTGAATCAATATTGTAATAAATTATTCAAAGCTGTTATTAGATTTACTGAATGAGGCAAGTTTTGGGAGATTGTTTGATTCATTATTGTCATAAATTAATCAAAGCTATGACATCTACTGAATGATGCAACTTTTGGGAGACTGAATCGGTTTTGTAATTGATTAAAGTAGCCAAGTCTTTACCTAAGTATCATCCACAGTCTTTGACATTGCAAACTCAACTTACTGGTCAATTTAAATCAACATTACAGTGAAAAGATGAGCTTCTGGTATCCAATATTTAAGACACATTGAAAATTTTAAACTTGGCATACGAATCGAGCGCCATTTGTAATGAAGTAACTGGATGAACGAGGCTAAACACAAAATGGTTGCTCCTTGTGTAAAAGTATGTAATACCAAGGTTGTGGACACTCTAGAAGTCACAATTTCTATCCGATTTTGATAAAACTTGAAATGTATGATTATAATCCAAAGATCTTGGTTCTTGTCGATATTTGCACATATTAGACTGTAACTTCCTGTATTATGGACCCTGATTGTACAAAAAAATCACATTTTTAGCTTGTGGACCCTCTAGAGGTCATAATCTTTATTCGATTTTAAAAAGAGTTTAAATGTATCACTGTTACACCCTTATGACGGTTAAGTTCGAAATCGGACCAAAACTTTCTGACAAAATGGCCGATCCTTGTACGCAAATAATGTAATAGTATGTAATACCAAGGTTGTGAACTCTCTAAACGTCACAATTTTTATCCAATTTTGATGAAACTTAAAATATATCTTTATATCCCAAATATCTCAGTCCATTTTGATATTTGCACATTTCAGGCCATAACTAACTGGATTATGGCCCCTGATTGTACAAAAAATCACTTTCTTTTTTCTAGCTTGTTCTCCATCCATCTTTTGCAAAATGTGGATGTATCTTGCCTGGCAACCACTTGTTGTCTTATTGATCATGGATTGGGTAATATGTCATAGTAATGGAATGTAATCATTACATGTTTTGAAGTAATGAATGGAAGATTTCATGTAAAATTACATTCCACTAATCTAATACGATAACTTTGTCGATAGCTGGGGTTCAATAGGATTCTGTCTCGACAATGTAAAAAGTTCCAATGATAAATGCGGTCGTTAGAGTTTGCAAGAAGAAATCAAATGAGGTTCAACGTCCTACTTTTCTGCACAGACTGGACTAATGAAGATGGGCATATGCCATATAGTGTGCTATAAGGGACATTTTACCTACTCATATCTAATTCTATCTGTCAATGGTTCTTTTACGTGCACACAGGATCTTGTTTTTCCATACTATCCGAAGAAGTAGACAGTATCATTGCCAGGCTTTCTGTCCTGCACCACTGACAATTTAGGGGGACCATGCTGGAAAATCCTGAGAAACTTTCTCACTCAACTCCACGATTGAATGTGGGACTTCCATATTTCAATAATGGTATATACAAATGACAATACTCAAAATCAATCCTTCATTTCTCAAATCAGTGCCAGATTTAGTAAGAAAAGAGAGAGTTCAAGGTCCACTCACACAAACTAGGTCATTTCAGGACTAACATATGGTTCAATTTTATTACAATAATTCATAAGATTGGACGGGCAGACTTATTTCTCGTCACATACAACTGGGGAATCGAAACTGTGCCGGGGCACTCAATGACGGGCCTTATGATACAATTCGCCATTCAGCCATCCAACCCCCCTTACCTATAACAAGGGGACGTGTGACCAAGGTCTAAAATATTTTTGACACATACTGTTCTTCCAAACTTTGTAGTCTTAAACATCCTTCATCATCCTCAACTATGCTCAATTGTGTTTAAATACTTATCTTCTTCTAGGGTGGGGCATTGGGAGGGGCCCGATAGTGGAATAGCCTAGGGCCTCCCTTTTCGACAATGTCTCATAAGAAAAAAAAAAAAAAAAATATCAACAAATAATGATATATTTTCCTCTTTTATTTATCTTTAGTGATATTTATCTGCTACATCAGACGTGACATCAGCAGGCTACAGAATAACTTAGCCAATCACAGAAGCCCATTTTATTTTGAATTATTTTGGACTAATACTGAACATATGCCTAGTGACCTATGACCTATCTATACAAAAGTACATTAAATATGCTGACACAAATATGGTACATAAGGACTACAGATAATTTGAAAGTGAAATTCTCTATAAAATGACAATTATGAATAACCTCTTAATTTTATAATAATATACTGTACATATGCTTTAAACTAGGTGCATTTAATGAATATTCATACCTAAGTAAGATCTTTTAATCTAGAACTTATTAATTAACAAATATTTAAACACTATTGTTCAGATATATATATATATACTTTGATTCATTTCATTCTATGGCACATATAATCTAACGAATGACTACCATTGCTAATTTATTTAAGATTGACTGAATACAAGTACGTACTAGTACTACCGATATCTTCTCATATTTGTACAGTTTGAAGCTGACAATGACATGAATATATCACTAAGCACATCATATAAATACCATTTACAGCTAAATCCAATATACAAATAATTCTGCACCTCTTTCGCAATTTACAGATTGGCATTCATTATTATTCGTGCAATGATATCTAGAATCAAAGGTACACAGTGGTTACTTAGTTAATTTATGCTCACATCTATGAACATTTAAATTCTTGTTCAAATATCACTGACCGCATATACTGCATGATTTATATTTAACACAGACGATTTCAGATGAACCTGTATCAAAGAAAAAAAATATTAAAATTTGATATGTCACAGGTCTTTCATGCAAGTGCTGGCTGTAAGTGTAATAAGCAAAGGTTTAGCAGTTTTCTCAAAATACAATTGTACAGAATTTAAAGCCGAAATTCAACAGACCTACACCTTTCGTAATCCTCCATATTAGCATGCAAATCACAATGTTAGTAGGTGATATTTGCCAAGATATACATTTCTATATATGAATTACAGGTAAAATCTATATAAACAAGCCTGGAAATAAAGCACCTTTCACAGACAATGTCAGGGACAAATTCAGGTTTTGTTGGTAATAATTCCTCCGATGCTTGTCAATTTGTCTGACACTGTCTTGTCTTTTTTCTTTGCTTTTCATTGATACCTGGCACAAAGTTAAAATATGTCGGGTAGTAGTTCGTTACAACTAGAATCATTATTCCCAGACTTGTATATACTATATATTTAACATCTCTTTTGATTTGTACTAAAGTGCTATCAACAATTCACAGAAACAATAGACCATCATGCAATTATGACAGGAATTCATATATGTACAATAATCTTACAATTGTCTAATAAATTTGATTTCATAATATAAACAAAATATTCAACAAAGAAAGATAAAAGTAATTGTACAACCCTGGAAATAAGTGACTATTACAATTGTACTTCTAGCTGTTTAATTTGACTGGAATATCAAGCCTGTGGTGCACTATAGATTGGTCATGTCAAAAGAATATTCTGTTTCTCCGATACTCCTGCCCCACTAAAAGAATGCCACATGACCTGTTCTTATTTCAAAAAATAAAAACGGTCTCGTAAATTAATGAATGAATAAGGAAATGTATTGTAGGGTCAATTATCAAGTACACAACCTTGTTCAATGTTATTGACAATCATAAATGATACTGGATAATCATAATTCCTATAATTAAAAAACATGAGTAGTGCCTTGAAATGTGATGTTTATGAGAGGCTACTTAGCTCTGTGGTGATGCTTTGACACACAAAATCCTCCCTTCCACATCAGATTTTTTGGGAGGATTGTCTGAGAACCAGAATATTTTTTTGTATGGCCTTAACAGAAGTGCTTTACACTTCCATTTGTTTTCAGGTCCGTAGACATATTGAGATAATAAATAATACATCTAGTTATATTTTACACTATGTTTTTTTTTAAACAAAGATTCAACTGAAAGTTGAGGACCTGACTACTGGCACGTGTCCAGAGGGGGTTCTGGGCACCCCTCTGCAAGCGCAGAACATGTTTGTTTTTCCTCTTACATTCATCAAAACAATGTCGAAGCATTGCTGCCTTTTTGGCCTCACTCCTCTCTAACCCTATACTTGTATGCAACTAAATGAGCAGAAATATTGTCCCAGAGCTTCTGATTTGATCAAATTCTCAGATAATTCCTTAGACCTTATAATATGCCAAACTTCATGCTGTCCCCACCTTGGATACCCCACTACTCAAATTCCTGAATACATGCCACTGGGCTACATAGTTTGTATTTATTGATTAAAAAACATTTGATTTATACAAATTAAACTTAAAGTATTTGCTAGAAGTATGTATTGAAAAAATTTGATTTATACAAATTAAATTTGAAGTATTTGCTAGAAGTATGCATTGTCTATAAGTTGCATCTGAACTTTATCAATTATGTATGTATTAGTATTGTAGTGAAATTTGGAATGTTCGCAATATAAATATTTTATGAACCAGTAATAAATGATAAATGGATTTCCTCCAGGCCTGCCTCGAGTTCATTAATAAATCCAAAGAAAACATTAAATATGGTTATCTAAAATCATTTTATTTGCACTATGAAATCCAAATTATGTAGAACTGAAAAAAGGAGCAAGACATCTTTCTTTGGTCTCAATCAATTCTCTTGCTTCTTTACACTGCTACATTACTTGTATTCCATTGTGTTGATATGGCTTCACCATCACAGACATGAAATTAGTACTTAATCCTTTTATTCCCCTGTTCAACGTAATAAATTTCTTGGATTCAAATTTGTCAGGAAACATAAAAACTAATACATGTTCTGATATGGTATCAAAATATTTATGCTTTACTGAACTTTAGCTTGAGTTCTCTTTCATTTTTTGAAATGTTTAAAGCTGTATTTCCCAATGTATTTCTGAAAACATCTATTAAGACAACTCAGTTCCGTATTACAGAAGATGAATGAAGTGATGTTGATGTAGAACTAATGAAATAGAGTGTATATAGTAAGTCATATCTGGGGGCTCATTTTTACATACACCTGAAAAATTCATGATACACACTTAATAATCCATACGTTGCATAGGGAAATTTTCATTGTAAATCTTAAAATAAATAAAAAGTTACAGCTGTACGAACTGATCATCAAGAAAAACTGTTGATAATAACACTAAAATAACAGACTTAGAATGATAAAATGAGTACAATAAACATTATTCAACGAGAATACAATAAAATGGGATAAATTTTGTAAATCACTTCTAATTTCTACTGTAATTTTCCAACAACCTAATTGAATATAACTATGTATATTTATCTATATTATATATATATTATTTCTCCATATCTATCCTTATATCAGGATTATCTCCCTTTTTAACATGTTAGTTATCTCCCGTATTTTATCTGATGACAATCTTCTTCCACAGGTAAATATTAAGAATTAGGAGATCAATCATACCATACATTTGTTATTCTGGTATATCAAATTTGAAGGTTTCCATTCTTCAAAATTAGTTTTAATCAAGGGGGATAACCCAGTAACTAAGGAAAAAAAAGCTATCTAACAGTAATATTAATAATAATACAGTAAGTACAAGTTTATATAACTATTTATAATATACAAAGACTAAGACCTTCAATCACCACATTGCACATCAAACATTCTCTACTTATAGTCATATATACAGTTTACATATAATCGCTGTAGCCATGACAACTATTATTAATTATGACATTCACTCCAGTTGTCATAGAGATTTTGAAACCACTGTCTGTAACATTAGCAACCAATTTAATTTTGAATATATATTTTAATAATTTGAGAAAGAATGAGTGTATGCAATATCGCCATGGAAATAATCATATGTAAACTAGTTTTTAAATTCATTGATAAGAGTACATAACATCGTCACGGTTACATCAATGAATTGAAAACCAATGATACTTCTATAAGATCTGTTATTACAATATGTGCATTTGCAATATACAATTAACAAGTGACTTAATAATTAATAAATTGCATCTTGAATATGAACATCATTAATAATAATAATGCTACTCCACAATTAAAACCTAATGATTGGTGAATATTAAACCAATCAGTTTAATAGGATTCAGTATGTGTTGTACTCTATCTGCTTATATTCAGCAGACTGTCTTGCTATCTGAAATATAGACCAGTTCATTTTAAAAAAGAAAATGTCTTCTATCGCAAGATTAAAGTGTATCTCTGAAACAAGATTTACAGTCATCCATTTATAACAGTAATGTGTTTTTATTGCATGACATTTATTTCCTTTTTGTAGAAATTTTTTCTGTATTGGCCCCCCTGTTTGCCATAAAACAATTAAATTTGTCCTTCACATCACCAGGCCACAGCGACTGCACCCTACAGTTTTGAACCAGGAACAAAACACTATTCATCTTGTTGTAGTTGCTCTTAGGGGACGCGCTTTGAAAAAAGCCTAAGACTCTTTCAATTCAAGTACGCTGGATGTAAAACTTGGCATGCTTGTACCTTTGACAATTTTTGATAAACATCACCATTCTAAGATGGCTGCGATGACATCATACTTGGTTCCAGGACAATATAGTACACTACTACTGGTTTAGTTACTTTTTTAAACACAAATTGTATGGGAATATTTTCACCCGATTATAACCTACCAGACAAACATTCTATATACACATTTTCACAAAGCTCCAAATGGATCATTCATATTAGATTGACTTGTTGGAGGTCTTGGTTGTTGGAATCCCATTGGTTGCTGCATTCCATATCCTGTCTGCATTCCCATACCACCTGTCATACCCATTTGTTGCATACCCATTGGCTGTATACCCTGTTTAATAATTAAACCATAATTTCAACATACAAAATAATTTCTAATAATTAAGAGACTAAAATATCATAAATTTTATGTCAATAATTCACTTGTGTCTTAAGCAATGGGATAAAACTGGAGGACGGACAAAACCCACTAAGTTGGGTAAGCGACTCTACTGCTTGTCATGTACAAACTAATAATGGGAACCACACCATTTGAGGCAAGGACGGACCGTGTGATCTAAAGTACAGACATTAGACCCCCACCCCACCATTATTTTTAATACAACACCACAAATGGTAATCAAAAATATATTTCAAAACTTGTTATTAAAATATATAACCATTTCAAAGAATTTTCAAGCCATAAATACTTGATGTACTTTCTTTCTGACATACAGATGATCTAATCATTTATAAAACTAATTTACTGAATGTTTCAAATCTGAATTTAAAAACTTTCAAAAATGTACAGTAAAAGTGATGACACATGTCTCGATGTTCCAGTTACCTCCCTTGATCACCCAATACTAACAAATATTAACCCATACTCTCAGAAATCAATCCATTTCTGTAAAATAATAGGCCAATATTACCCCAAAATGAGATAAAAGTAAAATTATTTGAATAACAACACGTTTATTTGTGAAAAATAAATTATTTATTCAATGTTTATTGGTTTCATTCATCGCTGGTACTATAAATAGATATTTCAAATGTTTGCACTTATTACTGGAAATTGAAGTAATTGCAGAGTTCTGTCAGCTTTGGATAATAATAAGGTAGTATATATGTGGATGAATTTTGTAGTACTGATACTAAATGAAGACTTTTCAAGTTTAACCTAAACTTATTTTGTCATCGTATGCTTTATGAAGTTGTTTGTTGTTCACAAAATCATTGTTTCTTTGATTGGTATTAAAAATGCTATTGTCTTATGATACTGATAGATATAAATGGCCTCAATCTAGGTATTGTCATGCTGCGTGTAGTGGGCGAGACAATTGACACAATCGTTTGATTGTCAGTTGTTTGGATAGTATAAAATAAACTAGAATTATTGTTTTTCTTTTTACCGGTAGTCAGGATTTAAGCCGTGAGTAACTGATCATGATAAATTATTTCTACAGTTTTTATTTCATTTGTTTATCATCAATACCTATTCATTTATCACAGCCAATTGCTCGTGAATTTAACAGGATGTAATAGACAGCCATTTGTGTTGTGGGCGGGACTTTAATGACAATTTGACTACCGTACAAGCGCCAGAATTACCACTTAAGTTATGAAACAATTCAATTGAAAGTTGTAATTAATATAAAGTCTTATGCAATTCAAAAAATGTATATAGAGTTGAATTTCATAAAGAAATATATATAAAGCTTGATACAGCTAAATATCGGTAATTATTATAACTGTAAACAGTAAAGTTTGGCCCAGTTACTGGAGATCGCAGGTGTATTTGAATCACGTATGGTAACTATGGTATGGCACCTGTTTCACAAGGCGCTGGAGAAGGGTGTGCCTAAACCATGCATTTTTATTTTTTCCTGAAACACCTCTGCCAAACTCGCCCTGCGCCTTATCTACGCATGCGCCTAATACACCGAAAAATACGGTATTACACGAATTTATTCTTTTTTTTTTTGTATATAATTGAAGTATTGTTCGTTTTTCACAATAATAAGGTAGTATGTGGTAGTATTTGGTAGTATTGGGTAAATCATCCTTATTTTGTCCATGTTAATAAATTGTTTCTAAAAACATCATATCTTACCATCATAGGTTGTTGGCCCATTGGCATACCTGGAGCTCCATAACCCATTCTTGGTGCACCCATTGGGACACCTGGTGCTCCCATCTATAAAAAGAGAAAATCAATCATTATGACATCTATTATTTAAAGGTCACATAAAGTAAATGCATAAAAATGGTGTGTACTTGAAGGAGTTAAATTTTCAAACCCCAAAGACAAATTTTCCACCTATAGTATATTTTTTTAGAGAATGGCAAAGTACTTATAATGGATGCAATGAATGACATCCAATTCTGAGTCGCCTACTTTAAATAATGGACTTTGAACTTTTGATCAATTTATGAGACTGGAACTTGGAAAGGGTATCTTTTCTCTGTATAATCTGAAAATTTCAATAAAGTTATGCTACACACCAAAACAGTGTTTGAAAAATGTAAAATGGCATTCATGACTGACTTGAATTGTTTTCAAATGCAATCCAATCTTTGTAATGATATGTCCATTGGAAATCTATGTAATGATGTGTGGTAGGGTAATTGTTCATCATAACTTCAAGCACATATTATGTAAAACTTTCATGTATTCCTTTTAGAGAGAGAAAGAGATAGAAATGGGGTTTAACAGATAAGACCCTACTCTTTGTCACATATAAGCAGGGGATCGAAATCACGACACTTGACTCAATGACAGACCTTATCATGCAAACCATTCAGCCCCCTCCTCCCCGCCCCCCATATTCCATTTAGATGTTCTTTACAGAAATAGAATTCTCACTAGATAAACCATTAAAACGGCAAAATAAATAAGTTACCATAGGTTGTTGCTGTTGTTGTTGTTGTTGGAACTGTGGATTCCATGTTGTACCAACTGATGTAGGTCTAGGTGAAAAATTTGTTCCTCCTGTTAATTTCTGTTCACCCTTAGGTTGCCATTGATGGTCTGTTCTATAATTACAAACAATTACTTTAAATACATCGCTATTATTTATATAGATGATGGCCACGTAATTTTATTTTTTTAATTTGTAACATGTTGCATCAATGAATTTTTCATGCCTTTACGACCAGTGGAAAAGCTTGATGAAATAGTCAGTCACTAAAACTGTCATTTATATCTCTAGTGTCTTTGTCATGCTACTTGGAAATGGACCTTTAAATACAAATAGCCTGCAGTGCTGAAAAACTTACTTTTTTATCTGACTCGTACTGTTGCCTTTTATATTAAGATTACCAGCCAATTGTACTAAACTAGCATCAAGGTCAGTTGTTAAACTAGGAGCTGATTTCTGTTGACTCTGAGGTGTATTGTTTGATAGCGGTTGTAACACTTCACCGAATGCGTCAAAACCTTAAAACAAAAGTAGATAAACTTCACCATAAAATAGACAATATGCAGATGGATTTATTGTTTATTTCTAAGTTGTTAGGTCTAAAATCTAGTATATATTTATAAGTCGTTACGTCTCATATATGGCATATTTCTAAATAGCTAGGCCTAATATCTGCTATAATATTATATTTCTAAGTGTTTAGGTCTAATATCTGTATCTATTCCTATGTTCATAGGCCTAATATCTGGTATATTTTTCTAAATTGTTAGGCCTAACATCTGTTATATATATCAATATAGTTAAAATATTTACAGTTAGTATTTGGAACTTTTTCTATCAATGTATTATCCTACTGGTATTCATAAAAATGTTTAATGTGTATCTTATTTTCGATAAAAAAATAACTACTGGTGTGAAGTAAAGCATGCAAACAATACAATATGGCTGACAAAATGATACAAACAAAAAAACCCTATATATTTATTATGAGTAGTAAGTGTTGTAGAGACAATATTATTATCCTGTTCAGGTAGAGGTTAGGGGTATTGACCTCACTCCACTCTTATCCCATACATGTATGCATCTAAATTCTTTGTTGATCCTTTAGACCTCATGCCAACTTGACGTTATCTCCACCCCAGACACCCCCCCCCCCTTCTTCAGCTCAAATTCCGGAACACTGCCATGGTATCGATGGAACAGTACTCAATAACTTGTTTTGTAATTTGATAAATACAGAAACTGGGATACACAAGTATAAATTTGATAAATTAATAATAACAAAAAAACAAAAACAACCAAGACAACAATAACTAACTGTAACAAATGATAAAATGTAAACAACAAAATAATTGGCATGGCAATATAACAATATTTCTTACAGGGTGGCTAATCAGATATCAGTACGCGTTCAAGGGCAAAAGATTCACAGCTTTCAATGTAAACTCAACTTATATTGGAATCATTAAAGGATTAGGTACGAAACAGACTTTCAGTGGTGGGTTTTTTTTTTAATTTTTGAAACAAGAAACACATAATTATATTGGCCATGACTGATTTAGCAATACAAAACAGGGAAATGACTAGCCTTCACTTATGACAATACAAACTGTAAAACAAACAAAAAGAAATATGACGCAAAAATACAATAGTTCTTTTTTTCCCCTAAAAAAAATATACAGAAACTGGTTTTAAAAAATAAATATATACGGGAACATGTACTAGATATAAATATTTTCATCACTTATCATACTACTACTGTTTTAAAGGTAGCCAAAAGATGGTATTATGTTCATTCAAAATCGTTACATAGTTTTTGTATATTTTGCGGATACATTGAACAATAGTGTATGATATGCAATGTCAATAAATACTCATTGACTATAAATAACCAAATATTTGTTGATAATGTATTAAACATCACCTGTCCCTCCCAGATCACTGACAGGTCTAACCCCAACCGACGCCATCTGTCCTAGATCTGAGAGTCCACCTCTCATTCCTGCTAGGGCAGGGCTAGAGCGTCCTAGACTAGGAGAACCCATAGGACTCATTCCTCCTAATGGAACTATAGAAGCATTAAATAAAAGAGAGAAAAAGAAGCAAGGATAAAGCGACAGAATTACTAGAGTACAGTAGAGTACTAAGGAACAACCTGGAATGTTTTTAAAAAGTACTGTATTATTAGAACAATATTCAAAAAGTTAACAAAATCCTCATAAAGGGTTGTAAAAGTCATTTCTTCTCCCAGATTTGAGATGTTCCAAATCACAATAAATATACAATCAAAACTGGGTAAAGTTTCTCGACTTCTTGATGATATCAGCTTGTTTTCTCTAAATAATTTGTAGGCATAATTCTTTGTATAAATTCAGATTTCATGATTAGCAATAGTGTAGGTTATCCCCATGGTCAGAAAAAAATAGCTATATTCAAATAAAAACTGTGCATATCATTTATATACTTTCCAACTTGAATGACTATTCTAAATAAGTTTAAAATTAAATATCCATGAAAAAAAGAGTAAGTTTAAAAAGAAACTTCTCTGTTTATATTTTACAGCCTTCAGTCAGGTATCCTAGATATTTTGTTGGATCTGAATTTTAATTTCTCACCTGGGCTTGTTGATAAATTATAGTCAGTAAGACCTTCAACAATTTAAATATAAATTATTACATAAGCATTTTTATTCAAGATAATCTATTCTGTTTTGCTATTCTTTTCTACCCTTCTTGATTGCGGAAAATTTTAATTCTAAACTTAACCATTTTATATTTAAAATCACTTTTAAAGGTAATCATTTGTGACAAAATGTTTTAAATTACTAAAAGTATTCTTTTTGATTTAAAATATTTCATGTGTTCAAACTTTATAAGATTTTAAATTATCGATGAAAAAGAAAAGTTACTATTCTACTCTAGTACACACTCTATATATAGTATACATTTAATCTAAAACATATTAAAATGCATTATTTACTAAAATAATCTGCATTGTCTCCTATCTAGATCTCATATAAACACTCTTTAATTTAATACATTGTAATTCACTCGAACAAATATATGGACTGATTATTGGATGACTAAGCCATAATATTTGTATGTGAGGTTGCATCCGATTCCCAAAGGATAAATGGCATCATCAAAACAGGGTTCTTGTTTCAAAATATTTTGTTTACAATGTCTATATATAGTCATGTATAAACAAATTTTAACAGCATTCTTATGTATGGATGGTTCTAACTAATGTATAATTCTTTATACTTTATTGAATGGCAGGTAGTAAATGCTGCCACCAGTCAATGCCAGATTCAGGAATAGCAAACATAACCAAAGTGAGAAAAACACTACTACCAGAAGGGTGAATGCCATTATGACTGTATGTAAACAATTTCTAATGCTTCCTATCCTATACATATGTAAAATCCACTTAAAGCCTCACTGAGCCAGATGTCAAGAATCATTTTCTTTAGATAAATTTAGCCAAAATAAGGATTTATAAGTGTTCTTTAGATTGTAATCTTAACAATTAAATTAAACAAAAAACATCTGGAGTTCAACATTAGGGAAGATATCTTATCTGGAACCTGATTTTAACATGTGAGTGTAGCAATGGCTAACTACGGTACTGCTTCAGGAATATAGTTCTTAAAGCGATAGTTGCATTGTTAAAAATCATATGTTTAAAATATGCTAAATTTTAAATACATGGAATCTAGATACAAAACTACCTTGCTGTAAAGGAATAATCCTATAATTGTCAGTTGATTGGCAAATATATCATTTTTAAGTTGAAACATTTGCTAATTCCATGCAGCGTATAGAAAACAATGGAGGTATTTTTGCTAGAATAATTCCTATCATTGCAAAATAGTCTTCGATAATGTATTAAGCGATAGATATAGAAATCATTATGTTTTGATTTTCTTTCAAAATACATGTATGCATCTATCACTTTAACATTCAGGCCTGGAAATGTCTGGCTCTAAAATGAACTAGTATTTGCCATTTTGAACATTGTGTCATCATAATTATCATTAAAATTTCTGGTAAAAGAAAAATCTGTGCTGGACACAAGAGGAATTGTGCCTGACAAAGCTTGAATTTGTGTCTGATATTGTCTGTGACAGGTGCCTCATTTCAAGCTTGTAAACAGAATTTTCACATTAAACAAATAGACAATATAATACAGCTGCAAGTGTTTATATAATCATGAGAAAAGCAAATTATGTGCCACATGGTAAACTGTTGCCAAAGAAACTTGAAGAAATCAACAAAAATAAAACCCACTGAGCTGAAACTACAATCTCCCATAAAAACTATACGATATTTTCTAAATCCATTTGGAATATAAAACTAAAATATTTAACTGAATAAGTTTAAAATTCTAAACGATGTCCTCATGCATTGATCTACTAAACTAATTAGCATGCAGAGTATGCATTAAAATATTAGTTTCTTTACTATTCATTTTATCCTTTTTATCTATACAATATTTAATAATCTTAAAAGGGACACGATAGGGCCTACTCAAAATATGATGTAAGTAAAATATTGATACCATTACAAATTCTTGACTTTGTAATGTCCAATGAAATAATTGTTTGCCTGACGATAAATATCAACCGAAAAACAATTGTATGCCCGACGATAAATATTAACAAAGAATTGTTTGCCTAACAAGAAATATCAATCGAAAAATAATCTTATGTGTGACGAGAAATATTAACAAATAAATGACCAAATCAGGAGAAATGCTATAGGTTCTTGAAATGCATGCTGAAATTGTTATGGCATGATTGTCGGTGACCTTTGTATAATGTCCCTTTCTTTAATTCCTTGTATTTCTAAATTATACATAATTTTAAAAATAATTACATGAAAATTTATGATAAATCAGTTATTTTAAAAATAAAACAAACTAAGCCTTTAAGTAACTACTTAATCTAAACTATACATTATATATATCGTACAAACTCCATATTTCTACATGTAGCTTAATCTAAACTAACTGAATTTACTATATATAATATATATATTGTACAAAATCCATTTATCTAGATTAATAAATATCTAATTTATTATAGGTTTAGTTACACCCATAGTTCTTTCCAATAAAAGAGTGATTTTTCCCCTGCCACGCCTTTTATTACAAAGTTAAATTGAAATAACATGAGAAAATTAACAAGCCAAAAGTCACAGATGACAAACTAGTCAAGAAATAGAAACTCAATTAATTAACACAAATATGTCACCAGTGTGTTTCCAAAACCCCCCACAAACCCACATAGCCAAAAGAGTGCAGATGGGGGAATAATCCATTCATTGGAAAGATTTCTACCTGTAGCAGGGGAGGAGCTCGGACTAGTACCAAACAATCCCCTACCCATAGCTCCCTGTTGGGTCGTGCCCATTTGGGATAATCCAGAGATATCAATAGCTGGGGAGCCCCCCATAATATCTTGTGATGGAGATGGTCCTCTCAGATGAGATGATCTTGGGTCATAAGGGTCAAGGGGAGATTCCAAATCAACAGCTGCATTCAATAATATATTGAAATTTAGAAATTCATAATATATCTAGCATTATATTACAATCAACAAGGATATATACAGGTTTTGGTGGGGTGGGGCAAACTGAATTTTCTTTTAAAATTACAGTATTCAATTTAACAATAATAAAAGCACCGGAAATAATAAGATTGAGCAGAAAACAATCAGAAGGAGGGTATTTTATCGAATATATTAAATAGAAATTTTTAAAATGTAGTTGCCAGGCAACTAAACATGCTGATCAGCAACATTGTCGTAAAGCCCCCTACTATTAATTGGTCAGATTTTACTGGCCTTTTCTTAAAAACAATTGCAGTAACTTGATTAAAATCTCATTATTAATTAGCATATAAAATCAATTTTTCAAGGCAAAAATCTTTTCAATTCAAAAGATAATGTGATCAAGAAACATAACAAGGCACCTAAAAATCAGAAAGGCTAGGTTTAAGAGTCTACTCACAATACTGATCGACCATATTGTTTGTGAATGGTTGATAAGACAGATTCTAATATCATTCCCTGATCTGATAACAGAGTATCCAAGTGATTTTACTGAAGGATAGACAGAGATGACGGCAATATACAACCACAGAGCAATATCGGTGTATAAAAACAAGTGACATAGTCATTCCAGTGTTCATGAACTTCCATCTTACATACATGCACCATCTTTATAGTGGCAATATTGCGTTTTATATTATGTCCAAGGACTATACGCAAATAAGAAACTTTGAAATTACAGAAGAAAAATTATCAGAATTTCAAAAAAAAGTCTGTATTCAAAAATTCAAAGGATCATCACATTAATTTTGTGAACGTTATGAAATGACTATGAAACTGAAAGTAAATAAAAAGCATGTGAATTATAACTTGTGTGCTATACCTGGTGGGGCAGGTGTAGAGGTTGGACCAGCTGGTCCCATAGTAGTTGTTGTCATAGTAACACCAAGAACAGCTGTTAGTAAGAGACAAAAATCATGCAGATCATACAAACAAATAAAACAGATGGTTAGCAATGTGACGTTGCCAGATGAAAAAAAAAAAAGAAGAAAAGATCAATACCATCATCATTATAGAATTACATGTATGCAATCAGTGCTATGACAGGAAGGGTAAATATCAATTGAATAGGTTACTTGGAAAATAGAACAAAAAACTGACACTGACAATCACAGATATGAAAGCCCAATAAAACCGAGCTAACCCTTGCAGATTAAGGTCAAAATAAAGAGAATGAGAAATGGGGTTTAACATCAATTAATATGGGTCAATTTTATTTCAATAATCTGCTTGCATGTAGGGGTCTTTAGGGAACCGGAGGGAAGTGGTAGGGAACCAGTGAACTCAGAGAAAACCAATGAGATTGGACAGACAACCCTTTTACTTGTCACATACAAGCTGGGAATCAAAACCATAATGCTTTGGACTTAGACCACTGAATATGACTCTATATCCCTGTCTTCCGGCTATAATTGTGAAAGCAGGAACCCCCAGGCAATTATATTATAACATTGATTTTATTCATGGATGTAAAATTTTGAAGGAATGAAGACAGAGTATCAATATTCCCAAAAAATCAAAATATTCAATTATTTTTGACCCAATTCAAAGAGTGCCATATTAAAGAACTGAGCTTTTTGGTGGTATTAAAAGAACTAAATTATAAAAAGGCCATATAAAAAAATATTCTCGTTGGCATGGTCTAATTAAAAGCTCTACTGTATTCGTTTAACATGTGACCTGTACATACATGTATCTTACAATTTATATGCTTGATAACGATAAGAGGATACTTGTTGAAACGTTGTCCTTTTAGAACAAAACTAATGATTGTTTCCCATAAACATTGTGTTCTGTTAATGTGTTTCCCAAGGTTAAATGCCACTTAAAGATTATATAACTTTTTTTTCTAATTTTCTTCATGGAACTTGGTTAGTCAATATTAATCTACCAAGTGCTAAAGGGTTATTTAAAAAAAAAAAAAAAAAAAAAAAAAAATCATAGCTACTCTCCTGGAACATAATATCAAATATACAAAAATTTTCCAGATTGCACTAAAAGGCAAGTTCCTCAGTGCCATGTATTAGAGGATTATCTGGTTTATATATATACACAGACCCACTGATTTCATATCACACTTTATATAATAAAAAACATACATAACACCACTTAATTATGTTTTAATTAATTTAACAGTCTTTAGGAATTAAGGTGCATAAGGTCACAGGCACCTGTAACATGAAAAATCTTTTAAAAATAACATTAGGCTGTGACTAAGTTCGTATAATGTCTAAATAGATATAATATATACTAATCGAGAATTGGTTTCAGATTAGATATTTGCTCCTGAATTTGATATTCTCTCTTACAAAAATGAACATAATAAGACTTTAGACATAATAATTAGTCACAGATTAATGTTATTTCTGGAAGATTCTCCACATTACAGACACCTGCGTATACGGTTACATGCAGGATAGTGAATAAAGAAAGGGATAATGAGGTATAAAAAAGAAAGAAAGAAGTTGAGAAGACAGGGAAGTGAATAAATTTACAAATTTATTCTAAGCTAGACTTTAGTGAATAATAATAAATAATATGAAATTCTATATAGATTTTAAGAATCCTCAACAACAACATATTTCGTAGTGATATATTTCTGTATTAAATCTGATATCTATTTCAATATAAGTACTATATTTGTAGAAAAATACCAACTCCACTGAAAGAGTGATGTAAACTTTGTTCCTACTTATATAAAGTCAAAACAAAACAAAATTTGAATGATCAATTCTTTAGTAAAATAAAAAGTCTTATGTTAACTATAACTACTGATCTTCATATTGGATATTACAACAAAAATATGAACATACAACAAGATTCTATATATGTTGATAATATTATATATATATACAATGCAATCTGTAAACTAATATGAATTCAACATCAAATTTGTCTTTTTCATTTAAAGTATATATGTCTGAAAGAAATATCTTTTGAATTCTGATGCAATTTTATATTATTTACTCACAGAAACATCCTTCTGAATATATGCCTGAAGTTCAATTATACTCTCAACACAGTCAATTTTTTAAAATTACATTTGGAATATAATTCACATGTTTGGCATATACTGCTGAAACAGAATCCCTAGCCTGAACATAAAATGCACACAGTATTATCCATGTCCAGCAAGAAGGAAAATTTTAGATCTTTTAGATAGATTTTTATATTTTTTACAGAGTGCACTATATTTGTATATAAATTGGGATGTATTTGGAGAAGTGATTATATATAGAGGTTTAGAGAGATACAATCATAATATATGGGATAGGTTTATTATATATTTGGAATATTTGTTATGAATGTGTACAATCACCTCACCATCCATATGTACAAAAGACAATGGATTTTCATCCCATCTCATTCAATAATTAGTTATGTTACTTTATGTATTTTAAAGAGGTAGTGTCACTTTGACCATAAAAAATAAATGTAATAAATATTACATCATATTCAAAATAACCCTAGTCTCACCGAATTATTGTTCAGAGAGAGAAATGGGGTTTAACGTCCACTCAACACACACTAGGCTTTTTATGGACTAACATATGGTACAATTTTATTTCAATGACAGACCTTAATGATCTACAGCATCTGTGTTTGAAAACGCCCACCTCCTCATTATTGTAATGCCAACTCCTGGCAACACATAATAATATTTATGATTGGCAAATCTCAGATACAGTTGGCCAATTTGTCTAAAACTTTATCGATTGACAAATATGACCAAAGTGACAGTGCCTCTTTACGTACCAGTAAAACAATCATATTCCCATGACAATTCAAAAATAACATTTATCTATGGTAGTAAATCTATGAAATTAAATGCTTTTTTATGAGATAAAAAAAACAAAACTTTCAAACTATGTCTATATTATCATTCATGAATATCAGCAATAAGAATTGAATGAATTTAAAATAGAGCATTCAATAAATACATTTATTATTTTCCATAACTAAAGCTAAATAAATATACTTAAAGCCTGTCAAAAGCATTAAACAATATGGAAAGAAAAAATTAATTCTCCTTTTCTCAATTAAGATGAGAGATAATGAGCACATACCTGAGGAAGCTGTTGATGTGCTATTAAAAGCTTTAGCAAAATCTGCATCAGTCGTGAAGTTGGATTGAGCAGCTGAAAAACATGACAGAAAGAACACAAATCAGGTCAATTTGACTACCATTTAAGTATATCACATTTAAAGATGCATTATGTAAAATTTAGATAAAGAGCTGGTCACTCTTGCTATAATAATAGTTTAAAAATAGATAATGATAAATGAATATATTGAAAATTTCAGTTAAATTACTTTATTCTGAGCGATGTCATAAGTGTTTGAAGTTTGAATAAGATAGTCTTGGTTGTCAAGTACCATTGCTATGATAATAAACAAAATCTTGATTATCCATTTTATCGTTAAATTTTAAATGGAGAGAGGGTTCTAATCCATTAAATATCTGAGCCATTCGATTTCCTAGAGAGTAGAGTATGGGCTTGTCATGTAAATAAATAGAGAGAGAGAGAGAGAAATGTGGTTAAACGTCCACTTGACACAAACAAGGTCATTTCGGGACTAACACATGGTTTAAATTTATTTCAATAATTTTCTTGCACGTAGGGGTCTTTAGCAGTGGGAGGAAACCGGAGGACCCGGAGAAAACCCACGAGGTAGGACAGGCGACCCTACTCCTTGTCACGTAAAACCAGGGATTCGAAACCACGCCAGTTGACTCAATGACAGGCTTTATGATACAGTGTGCACGTGCTAACCATTTGGCCATCCAACCCCCCCATGTGAATAAATGTTTGAACAATTATCTATATAACATTTAAAGATAGAAAAAAGACCTGCAATAGGAATATTAGCTCTTACATAATGCATCTTTAGTTTCCAAAATTACATTACAAAATTAATTGTTAATTAATCTATAAAATCCCCAACCCCCATTCCCACAAAATAATCTAGTTGGGCTAAGCAAAGTGACGAAAACTGAAGGCATGATATGATTTAGGAAGTTGGGAATCAAAGCAGTTCCATTGGATAATATGAGCCCTAGTCTTACTTGCTGTTTCCTTTCCTCATGTTGGCATTTCAAAATTTTAAATTGGTTGGGCTACTCTGGAATCAAATTATTTTAACAGCATTCGGAAATGAAATCTTAAACTCTAGCAATAAATTAACAGAATGCAAGAGACAGCATGTTATATAACAGTCTTTAAGGAATAACTTTTATAGTCACTGAAAGCTGGACCCGTTTTTTATATATATATATATATATATAAGCTTAAACATGTAAATAGTGATAACTGCAGCAGAAAAGTAAAAGATTTTTTTCTGCTTTTTTTAATAATTATTATTATTAATTTAAGAAGCTTTTATTCAGGATAAAAGCTATTGAAAGCTATATTACAAAGAGAACTGAACTGATAAATGCTGAGTATATTTGGTAGGATATAACATGCAAGGAATTCAGGAAGAAAATGAGTCGTAAATATTTTGCTCATAGAACTGGAGATCTGAAACATCAATTTAACAAACTTTTGCAAACTAAATAAACAGACACATGCTTTGCTAGTTCTTGTAAATCAATGAGTAACTTCACAAGGCCACATAAATGTTGGCTATATTTAAAGGATGTTACATGTGATAGAACTGATTAAACACATTTAATATAAGATTTTAACACAGAGATCTATGCTATGCTTCATCCATAACAACAATTTGGAGAATTTGGATGTGACGCAAATAAAGGTAAGCAGTTAACATGTACACAGACAATTCTTGAAATCTTTGTTAAGGATCAACAGTAGCAAAGATCCCTATATTAAATTTATATCTGAAAAGTGTTCAATCAGTTCTATAACATATGTTATATTGGTGCATACCAACATTGTCCTTTAATATTTACAGTTTTTTATAGAACTCCAGTGAAAATGAGGGAAATTGATCAATTGTTGACCTATACATAAAATCTAATTAAGGGGATACTCCATTCAACGTTCCGTAACTTATTCTCCAAATCCAGAGAAAGGTGTCAATCAAGTAAATATAAAAAATTTGACACATGTCAACTAGATACATTACTATTGTGACCAATCATCATCATAGCTGAAATGCATGATTATATTATGGTTTAGATAATACTCTCTGTAAACATTCCTACAAGTATAAAGGTAATATAGGAGAGAGGTAATATAGACCTAGCCTGTTCCTCAATCCTTTTCTGAGAATAAAATACTGTTTATACAAAAATAAGTAAATAATTGACCAATTTCCCAAATTTTAGTAAAAAGAAATTTAAAAGACTAAGAATTCTTTGATTATTGCATTGATTTTCTACTCAAAATTAGATCTGATCCAATACAGATCCATAGTATAGCAAGCTGAATAATTCACGACTTTTTATAACAATCCTTATAATCCCTGTTTATACAGAATTGACATTTTATAATAGAGAGCTACGTCTGCCAAGAATCCTTGTGTAAATCAGAATCAGATTCTAGTCATTTTTAGGCTTGGGTGGAAATCTCCCATTGATGAAAGTTTGTTTTGTCCCATTAATCAAAGATTTCTTGTTCTTTTAAGGGGTTAGCAAATGAAATGAGTGTTCTTACGAGGGTTTGTGTTACCATTAGTAGCCCAACTATTCGCTGGTGAACCCATTGGCGCACCTGCTGTTCCACCGAACGGGTTATTATTTGAGTAAGCTGTTGCCATCACGTTTTGCACACTCTCCATAAAAGGATTGCTGGTCATATTGAGGAGATCATCGCTTGGTCTAGCAGCACCACCAGCTGATGCTGGAGGCATGCCTGATGTTGGTGAGTTGGGTCCAAATAGATCAATACTACCAGATTTCTGAGAAGCTGGAGAGGAGAAAGGGTTACTTTGTGGAGGTGTTGATGTGACTCCAGTGGAACCTGGGGAACTTGTTAACTCTTGTACCCTCTGTTCCTTTAATGAGAAAAAAAAATTCAACGTCTAACTTTTAAAACGATACTTAGTACCCCAAAAAATCAATGATGGTCACTCTTTTTTATTCCTTTATTACCCAGTCAATAAGAAGAACTAAGTCAAGGTATGGCAGCATACATTATGCTGTAGAATACAATATACAATCTAGAGGACTGAGGTCACTAAATTCAAAAAAGAGCATAGTCAAGGTATAGTAGCACCCATTATGCTGTGGAATATTCTCTAGAGGATTGGGGGTCATTGAATTCCAGAAATTTATTTGTCAAATGTAAGCAGCTGAGAGGGCCGGTTGGAGGGAATCAAGCTTTCTGTCCTACTTTTCTGCACCAACTGGGCTAATGGAGACAGACATAAGTCATATAGTGTTCTATGACTAATATGAGGGAAATTTTGCCAGGACAACAATTATTCAAACTGTCAACGGTTCTTTTCATGCACGCCTAGGTGTACAAGGGGCCTTGCCTGGCAGACCCTGAACCGACCTTGAGTTGTTGTAATCTGTTATTTTCTTCCTCTAATATTCGTCTCTTTTCTTCATCACTTACTTTAACGGTACTGTTACTAGATATGGTATTTAATGCTGTCGAAAAACCAGCTGGCCTAAAATATATGAACAGATAATTCAAAAATCCCTGCAAAACAGTAGAACAAAACAGATTTTAAGATGAATAGAGAGGTGGTTTATTCATAGTGTTTCAGGTTATAAATCACTTTTCAAATGATGATCCAGTGGCTACACAGATCTACCATCTTGTCCAGCCTCTGTTACTCTGTTAGTCACTAGTGCTGCCTTTCCCCCTCCCTTTTAATTGATATATGAAAATTTTTATTCCAATAATTTGCCTGCGCACAGGGATTTTTTAAGATATGCATGGGTTGGGGATTGAAGTGGGTACAACAAACTACAACTAAAATTATTTTGTTGGCCCGCAATGACTACTTATTAAGGAAAGAAATGAAATCCTACTTTTCTGCTGCATCCTGGCTAATGGAAGACGGGTATACTAGTACATGCAGTGTGCTATGTGGGAAACTTTGCCCAGACAGAGTGTCACTATGGCCTACTGTCAAGGGTTCTTTTTTTGTGCAAGCCAATGTGTACACAGAACCCATTAGAATGACTATTCACTCCTTACTATCCAAGAAAATTGGGAGGAACTTTCTTGGCCAACACCGAGATTGAACACGGAATCTCCAGGTTTGCGAGCTAGAGCTTTACTCACTGAGTCACAGCAGCTCCTTTTCAATGAAAGAGATTTGAAAACCCAGGAAGTTAACCTAACGTGAGGTAACCCAGATTTTTAATGGTGGTACTATACAACAAATCTTTAATAGCTGACCCAGATCTAGATGGAGAGAGAAATGGGGTTTAACATCCACTCGACACAAAGTAGGTCATTTCAGGACTAACATATGGTTTAATTTGCTTGCGTGTAGGGGGCTTTAGCAGTGGGAGGAAACCGAAGGACTCAGAGAACATCCAACCCGGGAATCGAAACCACGCAAGTTGACTCAATGACGGGCCTTGTGATACAGCGCGCACGTGCTAACCATTGGGCTATCCGACCCCCTCCAGATGTAGATGGAAGAAATGAAATAATCTGGATGTAGATTAAAGAAATTAAGTAATCCAATTCACTTACATGGCATTTGTAGCAGGGGGTGATCCAGCTTTCTTTCCTTCTAACTGAGCCAAATGTTGTTCTAAAGCGTCCAATAAACTAGCAGGTGCCTATTAAATACATAATAAAAATATGGTTATCTTTATTAAACTCATTCCCTCGTGTCTTCATACTCCCATCTACAATTACAAGCAATTCTGGCCATGTGTTAACTTTTGTTAATGAATACAGAATTTTTTTTCTTTTCCTTTATAATTCACTGAAATATTATTTTGTTTAATTTTCAAGTGATTCTATACTGTTGCTTTAAATATCTGTGAGTATTTCTTATATCAAGCAAACTGCTTATTTACAGAAAAAGACATTACTCAGGAACTGATATACTATGTTAAATATAGCACTACATTATAATGGATGCATTTTTAGTATAAAAGCATGTTCAGAATCATTATCTAATTAAAGATCAATTTGGAAAGGATGATTTCATGGTCTTCACATGCTTATAAGAATTCTAATTACTCAGCCATCTAAGTTTGATTTTTAAATTATTATGAATATGGGGTAAACTTTTCTAAGCATTCCATTCACTCAGCAATTTAAGCTTGATTTTCACTGAGCCCTTAATGTTTGATTATCAAAACCATTTAACTTTGATTTTCAAGACACTTATAAATATTGGTAATATTGTTTAGCATTCTATTCAGCGAGGCATTTAAATTTTATGTTGAAACTTCTGTGAATGGGGGTAGAAAAAATACCTAATTCTTTTTTTTTTACAATAAAAGAGTACAGCAATTGTCCAAAGAACAAGTCAGAGCCTCAGGTTTTTTTAGGCACATGTTTCCCATGAAAATCAACAAGATGAGTAGCGCTTGAGGACCATTTCATGGTCCCAAAAAGGTAGAGCATTCTGAAAAAGTTATTTAAGTTTAATAATGAAAATCCAAAACTAAACATTATTTTATATGTTATTAGTTTCAAGATATAAATTGTAAATAAATGCAAGCACAGCAAAAAAAAAAAAATAAAAATAAAAAGTTACTCCCAAAATATTGTTTGTCTTCATCAAATACGACAGATTTTTGGTTGTCAGTTTAATTCTATATTGAAATAATAAGACATGAGTTCACCACTCACTTAATACGGCACCATAATCAGGTAAATCATTTTTCATTATTTCAAATGTATGCAAAACAAAAGTGTTCTTAGATTATGTAGAAAAAAAAAGAGGGAGGAAAATTAATATCGAGCAGTAACCATAAGGCGTTTAGAGATGAAAGGTATAAAATTAATCATGATAACCAAATTCTGAGTAGAAAATAAAAATGGTAATTTGTCAAACCCTATTCTATATAAAGATGACAAATGAGATAAATTTGGGGATATACGAATAAATAAAATCTAGTATGTGTTGAGCTGAACCAACCTATAATTTAGCCAATGAAAAGATGCTTTTTCTCCAGCAATAGTTGTTTTAGCTAATCACAGTAGTCATAGAGACCCACAATCTAAGTCAGAAAACAATAAAGATATAATTTTATGTAGACTTTTAGGAAATATCAGCACTCCGTGAGAATAAGAGTTCAACCAATTTGGGCTTGATTAATCAACAGGACAAGCATAAGGTGACTTAACATATATAATGGTTTAATGGACTTTTATTGACTGTTCTTAGGACATTAGTGGGGTTTAACGTTCACTCAAAAAGTATACGCTGACTAACACATGGTTTAATTTTATTTCAATAATTTGCTAGTGACTTTAGTAAAGGGAGGAAAGGTGACTAACTGGAAAGGAAGAAAAGAATAGATCAAATAGATTTCCCTGAATAAAAATATTAACTATGTACAAGATATAAGAAGTTAGCATATCTTGTTAAATGGTGTGTTAAGATAAAGTAATATACAAAGTTATAATAAGGTCTAAGATGATATAGGATTTTTTTAAGGAACTGACAACCCAACCCTGTGATAAATTTGATTATTGAGAGATATTTTGGGAGTAACAGTAAGTGACTGACTGACTGACTTACTCCATTTTTTCGTTCATCCAATCCCTGGCAAAAAAAAAGTTAAAAAAAAAAACAACACAAACTTAACAAAAACTAGAAAACAATATTACAGAAAAAAAATACATCTATATACTTTGGATACAATTGAACATAAATAAGTAGTAAAGTAGCATATTTTTAAAATAAGGAGAGAGAGATAATACTAATAATTTATCATTTCATTTCATGCATTAACTAGATAAATACTTTTTTTTTAATTAAATGCAAAATAAACAAATCTGAAATAAATTTTGAAAAACAAGCACTGATGAGGCTACAAATTGAGCAGGAATTCAAAGCAATTACTTTATTTTGGTGTGTGACAGACAAAATATAACACGTCAAAAAGTGACGATAACATTAAGGTTTGAGATTCTTGGAGAAAGCATTTTGCCAGTCAGTCACTTGAAGGTGAAATGGGTGATAGAGGGTAAGAAGGGAGATAGGTTTATTAGAAAGAGTATATTACTAACAGCTAAGCTAAATAACAAACCACAATATCACACATTTAAAGAAGAAATTCTGTGAATAATCTAAATCAATGACTTCTTGTCCATGTCTCATATTCTAGAGACTCCCTTCTAAGTAAATAAGAAACTGTAAGAAATTTTTGGAATAATTTGTTGTAGAATAATATCATACCATAGATGGGTCAATACATCAAAGCAAGAGGAATTCTACTTCAGACAATGTCAGCAAAAAATCAATTCCAGAGAAGGAAATAGAAAACATTCTAATAGAAGCTAAATTTTTGATCAACAATTTAAAGTTGTTTTTGTTTTCATTTTCTAAAAAGGTAGTAATAATGAATGAATAAAATGGTGTTTAACAACCTACTTTTCTGCTTCAACCCAGGCTAATGAAGATAGGAGGTTGTAATAACAGTGTGAAAGGAATGTATGAAGAATTTCGTCTTTATATGTGTAATCATACGAGTTAGTATAAAGTTGTGTATTATATTCTTACCTTGGCTAAATCAGGTATATCACCTTTATCTATACCAACATTCTACAAAACAAAACAAATGAAATGAGGCTTAATGGCCTACTTTTCTGTACCGACTGGGATAATGAAGACGAACATATGCCATACAGTGTGCTATGAGGGAAATTTTGCCTTGACAGCTGCACTATAGCCTACTCTTATATCAAATTCCAACTGACAAGGGTATACACAGGACCTCGGTTTTTCGTACCTTCTGAACGACTTGAAACTGTTCCTTGTCAGACCCTCTGTCTTGTACAACTGACAAGGGGAAAACATGCCAGAAAATCATGAGGATGTTTTCCGGAGAAATTTTGCTTTGCCAGGATGAAAATCTGTATGGAGACCAACGTCTGTATTTGTGATCAGACAGTCATTAATATTTAATTTTTGTAAGTTTGACTAAAAGAAAAGACTTACTTCTGCCACTCTAAGGAATTCTGAGACTTTATCCATTCTCACCAGGAATCTTTTATAAATTTCTAAACCTTCTTTACATTGTTTTTTGTTCATGTCAAAATATTTTTCTGAAAATAAAAAAGTATATAGAATGAGTGCTAACCTTACAAGTGATGGACCATAATCTCAAATGTTTAAAACAACACCCACCTTGAGCTTGGCTTGAAATGTTTCCCGGTTTAGCAGTATCCGACAGTGGTAGTAAGTGATCAGACTTTAGACCACAATTCTCATGCATCACCTCAAGGACATTTAAGTACGCCTTTCCAAATTGAACATGAGGATTTTGATACAATATGTAATTCCTATGTCACTGGTTGTTTTAAGTGTATATGTGTTCTCAGCAGACCCACCGTCCTACACCACTGCCATTGGGAAACCACGCTGGATATCTGATCAATAACCAACATGCTCTAGCAATTTATGTTAGAGATGAGCCGATTATCGGAAACAAAATAATTGTGGTATCAATAAGTATCAGTATTTACCGATAATTGGTCATTTTTACAGATATATTGACTGATATTCAATTGTAAAGAAATTTTATGATGGCTGAATTTTATGTTTTACTGAAAGTATCTGATATCAATTTTACCAATGGCTAATCTCTAATTTATTTTACATGCTTACCAAGTAAATTAATAATTCCATCATTGTAACATGCAAATAATCGAATAAGATCTTTAAATAGTAATAAGAAAGCTGCATTCATCACACCATTGGTCAGTTCATTCGGAGAAGTCTGCAAGAAAAATAAAGTTACAGGTCAACATAGCTTGCTAAACATTATCTCCCTTTACTGAGAGATATCAGTAGGCACTGAAATAAGAAATGAAATAGGGTTTAACATCCTACTTATCTTCTCCATTCTTGGATAATGAAGATGGGCACACACCAGCAGTGCGCTATCATGGATAATTTGCCCAAACAGCCACGCTACGACCCATCCTTATTTCAAATTCCAACAGTCAAGGGTTCTTTACCTGCTAGCAAATGTCTATTTATGGACCCTTGATTTTTTCCTACCATCCGAATAACTAAATGTTTTTCCTTTCCCGAACCTCCAACCTACACCACTGACAAATGGGGTTTAACTTTCACCCGACACAACAACATCTTAAAGCATTGCGGGGACTTAAACATGGATAAATTTTATTCAATAAGCTTGCACACACAGGTATTTAGCAGTGGACGGGACCAGAGGGAACACATGACATTGGACAGACGACCCTACTTATTACGTACAAGCAGGGAACCCAAACCCTGACACTTGACTCAACAACAGACATTTTGATCTAACGCGCATGCTCCAGTCTCCCGCAAGTATAATTAAAACTGATCTCGTCATAAATTTTAAAATCTTGCATCAATAAGAATCTTATTCAAGAACCATAATATTCTACTTACGTCAAATTCTATCAGTGCGTCAATTTGTTGCTGTAATACGGGTAGTGATTTTAATAACTGAAAATAAAACATGAGTATTATTCATAATGTATTTAATTTAAAATTGGAATCCTTTGAAATGCTTGGATTAATTCAAAATTCATTTTTAATCTGTCTACTGGTATATTAATTATAGTCAATTCTTTACAGTTCTTGAATTTACTTGATGTCGGGTTTAACATCTGCTTCCATCTAGGGTGATATCGAAGACAAATATCTGAGGAAACTTACGTGAAGAGCCAAACCAATAGTTCTAACCAAATCCCTAATTTATAGAATTTTAGTCCTATCGGGCCAAACAGCCCAAAGGACTTACATTACAAATTGTAATTTACAATAGCCCCCCTGCTGTTCATTAGCTTATATTTTCGCTGCTTATTCAGATTTATTCAATTGAATTTGATTGGTCCAATAGGAACAGGGGCAGGTCCACACTGACGTGAGCAAATTTGTTTTTTTTCTGCTCTTATTTGGGAAGTTTTTAGCTTTTAACATAATCTTAGAACATCTATCACATTTATTTTGCTTACTTTATCTGTGTTCATCGTTCGTAATAAACCATCATCTTTTCTGTAAAACAAATAATACTGTCAAAAGTTAAAACCATAACTGGATCCCATGAGTGACAGTACATCTAGATAGGGGTCAAATCTTGTATCTGAGCTCAATATTTCCACTTTTTTGGATGCCCTCTCAATGATACAAAAGTCACTACAATTTGTCTATTGATGTTATAACCTAACTACTCATAATGCTGTATCATGTATAATAAAGTCCATCCTTTAAAGGGCCTAAATTATAGCAGGAAAAAAAGAGACAGAATCTTACCCTCGCTTCACTTTACAGAAATCAAATGCCATCTGTCGGTAGGAAAAGGCTTTCTGATTTAAATATTTTGAGTATCTCCTGATAGCTGTAGACATGTCAAAGGCTGAAAAAATGATTTTTCAGTATGCAATATTAGAGGAATACATAATATTATTAAGAATTGTTATATAGCGCCCTTTCCACAAAGTGTGATCATAGGTGTTATCCTATAAACAGTTGATAAACAAAAACATGAAGTAAAAAAAGATCACTTTAAAGTAAAATATAAAATGACAAGGAAAATGTTGTTAAAAAGACAGGATACAGTTATATAAAATGACACAGATAATAATCATGAACTATTTCAAACAGATGAGTTTTAAGACTTTTTATAAAATTTGATATAGAGATGCATGGAGATTGCGCCTAGCCTTTTTATTCAATATAAACAATATTCACCATAAATGCAATAACTGAACTCACACTTCGCTGGATAACCAGAGAACTGACAACATTGTTCTTCAAGATAACACAGTTGTAATTGCCATATGAATCAAATTCATGTTCATCAATTAAACAGAGAGAGCTGATTCACTATAAATTAATAATACATGTGTTCTGTGGCAAATTTGTGTAAATGAATAGATTTGTGTTCATCTTGACATTATGGTGTATTCATGTACATGTTTGGCAACAGCATTGAATTATCTCTTTATATATTAGATTGTGGACTAAAAGACATCTTAATTTATACAGAATAAATGAAATAGGCTTTAACATCCTACTTTTCTACAACAGTGTACTATGAGGGGGAAACTGTGACAATTCCATCTACTCTTCATGTGCACGGGGCCTCGATTTTAATCCCATCTTGACTAGAGACCTTCCGCGTCCTGCAACACTAACAAGGGGAAATCCTGATGAAAAATCGTAAAGGAGTTTCTCAGCCAACACCAGGATTAAACCCAAGACTTACTGGTTAGTGAGTGAGTCATTTAGTTGCCTTTTAAAGAATTAGCTTGTGATAAGAATATATATAAAATACTGTAACTATACATACACGAGCCAGTCTTGTCAATAAAAGTGTTGAGATTAAATGTACAGTTGTTGGAGGCTAAATACTGTGTAAATCTCTGAAATTAAATATTCAATTAATTTAACAAACATTTTATTAAACCTCCAGGCTAGCGAGTCAGCTTCTTACCCACCGTGATCCCCTTAATTATAAGAGAAACCAGCGTAATTGTTCTCACAGCCATACAATCTGATTAAAATACACATCTATATTTTGTTTCGTTTTTTATACTTTCAATGGCCTACACGACATGAAGATCTGACCAGTTGTTTTGGTAGGTCGCGTCAGAGGTCATATGAACGGCTTTTGACCTCATGGCGTCAGGCATTTGATTAACCAATCAATCAGTGGATTACCCACAGATCCGTGCACGTCACGCCAAAACTCGCCGTAACAGACCGTTTCATTGGTTAATCCCTCACATAATCCAGAACACGTCAATAATAACAACCCTTCCAGATCCTAGTCTAGTAAAGACAAGTAAAACAAAATTTTGAACTATAAAAACGAAACAAAATAGTATCTGCATTTTAATCAGATTGGGGAGAGAGAGAGAGAAATTGGGTTTAACGTCCACTCGACACAAACTAGGTCATTTCGGGACTAACATATGGTTTAATTTTTATTTACACAATTCGCTTGCGCGTAGGGGTCTTTTAGCAGTGGGAGGAAACCGGAGGACCCGGAGAAAACCCACGAGGTTGGACAGGCGACCCTACTCCTTGCCACGTACAACCGGGGATTCGAAACCACGCCAGTCGACTCAATGACAGACTTTATGATACAGCGCGCACACGCTAACCATTCAGCCATCCAACCCCCCTAATCAGATTGGACAGCCATATTAAGAAGTTATTGTTAATTATGCACACACATACAGTATATCCTACTCAAAACCAGTGTCAGATTTAGATGGAAGAGAGGTCCTACCCTAGGTTATTCCACTTATAAATGTGGCCCCACCCAATCCCCAGCCCTCATGACTAGAGGAAGATGAAAGTGTGTTTTAAAGGAGCTAAATCGCTAATACCTGAGACCCACAAATTGACACAAATGGGTCGCAACATAATATAATAATGTTATATGAATGTAAATAAACTGATTTACATTGAATCGTTTCCGTTTTTACTCTAATTTCAAGGCAGTTATGTTTGGCGAAATACGCCAGAAGTCTCAATCAAATGTTAATCTCTAGCGACTGGTTATTCCAGTCTATACCGATAGTATTTATTGAACATGCTCTCCAGAAAAGAATATGGGGTCACCGTTTGACAAGACATGTGGAATATGTCTAACCTTGTTCATCGGGTCGCTTGTTACAAATTGCGCTGAAACGCATTATGATACACGATTCGTGTACCAATCGTAAAATGTTTATTTTGTCTTAAATATTGGATATCAGAAGCCTATCTTTTCCAGGTAAGATCGCAATATCAATGTTGATTTAAATTGACAAATAATTTGTGTTTTCAATTCAAAGGTTTTGGATGATACTGATATCATGTACACCTTGGTCTGAGGGCCCCTTAGATCTTGAGATCCTAGGAAATCTTCAAAAATGCAAATTTCCATAAAAAGTAATGAATGTTGTGCAGCCATCAATTTTAAGCAGTCCCACCCAATGCCTACTTTGGTATAAAGCTTTGTTTTTTAAAACTGGTCTACTTTCTTATTATACACATATAAGATTTCTGGTGTTTTTAAATTAATAGCTTAAAAGATTTCTGGTGTTTTTAAATTAGCTTAAAAGATTTTTGGTGCTTTTAAATTAGCTTAAAAGATTGCTGGTGTTTTTAAACTTAAATTCAACAAAAACATGTATTAAAAGGTGTTAGAAAATGTAGTTGAGATGGATTCCTGACCTCGTTGTTCATACATGATGATACATAGATAGAAACAAGTTAAAAACTATATTTTTATTTTTTAGTCTGGAATATTTGACCTTCAAACAAGCTTCTCATTTTAAGAACAAAAATCAAAGTTCAAGTGCAGATTTACATCATTTTTGTTAACTTAGAAGTCTCCTCCTATTTAGGTCATTATTATAAATAAATGCATCATAATTGTGGCAGATATTCAACTGTATAAATATTGTTATAATTCTGTGATATAATCCGTAGATAATTATCTATTAAAGGTGATTTGTTTGGGGAGAAATTGTTTTTGGGAGTCATGGAAATATCCAGCTTTATCTGTAATAATACATCAGAGTCAAGCCTTTGAATAAAAGAAACAATGTGCTCTGATTCCCTGATAATGAAAACAACCAAAGTGCTATACAGCAATCATCTCTCGATTAGAATAGAGGATCAATTGACTATCATTAAGATTATTGAATGTAAGATGGCAGAAAATCAATACGAAACATTCAACTAATCACTGGTTAACTAATAATAGGTACAATTCTCCCTCAATACATGGAAACAGTTTAAAATGAGTTTCAGACATGTAACCTTGACCTTCAATTCACTATCACTCTCTTTCTCGGTTCTGTTTTGTTACTGACATCCCCTGACTTACATAAAAGAGAAAGAAATGGGGTTTAACAGGGGGGTTGGGATGGCCTGGTGGTCTAGAGTGCCACGCTTGCGGTTGTGGTTTCGATCACTGATGTGGGCATATGTGGCTTGGAGATAGGGGTGCCTTCTCAACCTCGTAGGTTTCCTCCGGGTATTCCGGTTTCCTCCCACAGGAAAGACCCCTGCGCGTGCGCTAAGATAAAAAAAAATGAAAAATAAGACAACTTAAACAGGGTTTAACATCCACTCAACACAAACTAAAACATGACACAACTTTATTTCAATAATTTCATGCAATGAATATAATGGGGTTTAACTTCCTACATTTCTGCACCCACTGGGCTAATGTAGATGGGACTAGGCCATAAGGTGGGCTATGCAAGAAATTTTGCCAGGATTATAGCGGCGCTACAGCCTACCCTTGAATTATAACTGTCAAACTGTGATGTTCTTTTACGTACATGCTAATATCTCCTGTTTTTGATACCACCTGAAAGACTTGGCACTGTCATTGTCAGGCCCTTTGTTCTACCCCACGCACAAGCGGGAACCACGCCAGAAAATTTCAAGGCACTTTCTCTGCCAACACTAGGATAGAACACAAGACCTCATTGTGTCACCACTGCTCCCTCATTTGCTGGCACATACATGTATAGGTCTTTAGAAGAGGGCAGAAACCAGAGAATCGGGAGAAAATCCACAAGGTTGAACAGGTGACCCAACTCCTCCTTGTCACGTACAAGCTGGGAATCAAAATCACACCATTGACACAATGACAGACCTTATGATTTAAAGTGCAAGATGTAGACCACTTAACCACTCCCCTCACCTTCATTTATATGAACTCACCTCATTTCCATAGTTCATCAAGTTATGTATACTGATGAGTGATTTAAAGACAACCACCCAACTTGGATGTTGAGTTCTTTCAATAAGGAGATTAGCAAGTTGTGGAATTGACACATTCGGTTCATTTGTGCACTGTAATAAATCTGAAATATACAAGCGAAAAATAGATTGTGAGTATAACACAAAAATTTTAAATAAAATCATTGCGATTCAATAATGCATACAGAACTTACTGACCATTATTTAATAGTAGATTCAGTCACGGCAAAAACAAATTGGTAGACCACTTTGATTTGGGTAAAAAAAATATAAAATATCTGACTCATTGTATTTTGTGTGTTTCCAGGCTTACATTCATGTACATGTATTCCCTATACATGTACATGCACATTTCTTACATTGAATGAGGGGATCACGGGGGCTAAGTGGGTAAGATGCTGGCTCGCTAGCCTGGAGGTTGGGTGTTTGATCCCTGCATTGGCCGAGAAAGTTCATCCAGATTTTCAGGCATGGTTTCCCCTTGTCAGTGATGCAGGATGGAGGGCCTGACAAGGATACAATGTAGCTGTCTAGTCGTTCGGATGGGACAAAAAACTAGGGGTCCCGTGTACACATTGGCGTGCAAGTAAAAAAATCCCTTGGTAGTTGGAATTCAATATAAGAGTAGGCCATAGCCCGGGCAAAATTTCCCTCATAGCACACTGTATGGCGTATGCCCGTCTTCATCAACCCGGTTTAGGAGCAGAACAGTAGAACGTTAAACCCCTTTTCATTTCATTTATATTGAATGAAAATGATTGCAGAGAATCAATCATATCAAATGGTGTAGAAAACAGTATCTAATCATTGTTAAATACATGTACATTGTTTGAAGATGAAATTTGGTAAAATTAATTACTCCAATTGTAAAGAAGGAGGAGGCTGGTTGGGCAGTGAATGAATACAGATCAACATGTACTTAAGTTGTACATGTAAATGTGATTATTTCCATCTCGCCTGATGTTACAACGACCTTATTTCTCTTGCCAGAAGGATTTTATTTAATGTCATCCTGTGTCATTACCTTCCTGGTTACAGTGACATACTTGTAGACTGATTTTATTTCAAACTTTAAATGACCCTAGACTCAATCATCCATAATCCAAGCACTCCAATAATTAAAGTAGCAATTTAATTAAACAAACCACATAAAATTCATGCAAATCCAATATTTAAAGTTGAAAGTAGCTATATACTGTTATAAATTTAACAAACCAACAGTGAGGCTGATGTTCCCCACCACAATCCCAAAATAAATAGATGACACATATATATTAATTAATCCCAAATTAAATAGATGACACATATTAATTAATTAATCCCAAATTAAATAGATGACACATATTAATTAATCTCAAATTAAATAGATGACACATATTAATTAATTGCACATTTATCTTTTTAAAAAGTATCGAGCAATCAAACTGATTATCTATACTTAGTTTACGCATAAAATGTTCAGTCAAAGTTTTGAAGTACCTGGTAGTGAAACTCTATGCTAAGTTTCATCCCTCTCCATGTGTTTGAATCAAAGTTATCTTGTCCCAAAGCATTGGCCAATGAAATTGCCTACCCCTGCTTAGCTTTAGTGGAAAATGTTCATCAATGAACTCGGTCAAGACATTCACCTAATGAACACCTACACCAGTGATTCTCAACCAGTGTGCCGCCAAATCTTACCAAGTGTGCCCCAAATTTTAAACGGCACACCAAGTAAATTTCTCACTAAAGAAGCTAGCTATTTGACTGATGATTTTTGAAACACTACAATAAAGTAAGTTCATAGCTGTGTTTTTCTTTATTTAGTTTGAGTCATTCTATGTGTCTATGATTAGTATTTGTCTAATTTTGTATTCTGTCTAACTTAACATGTTTTTATTTTGCAAAATTCAAATATTTTTCATATATATATTTAGCCAGGTGTGCTGCTATTTTTTCATGTGTTCCAAGGTGTGCCGTTGGCAATAAAAGGTTGAGAACCACTGATCTACACCAAGTTTGAACATTCTACCATAATTAAGTATGTTCCAAAGTCTTGACCCATCAAGTTGCTTATCATTACTTTGCCTAAGCAGAAAATTCTCATCATCGAAATTAGTCAAGGTATTGATTTAATGAATCTAGAGTTTCATCACTCAATTTTTCATCCAATTAGAACCAAAGTTATTATGTTCCAAAGTCTCAAGCAATCAAATTGCTTATCTCTGCTTAGCCATAGTGGAAAATGTGCATGACTAAACACCGTCAAGGCATTAAACTAAAAGACTCCTACACTAAGTTTGAAAATTCTACCTCAATTACATGTAGTAGTAGAGTTATTGGAAGTAAGAAAAACCAAGGTCCTGTGTATACATTGGCATGCACATAAAAGAACTGACTTAAGAGTGGGCTGTGTATTGCTGCTGTCATGGCAAAGTTTCCCTCATAACACACTCATGGCATATGCTCATCTTCATTATTACAGTCAGTGCAGAAAAGTAGGACGTTAAATTCCATTTCAAGTCTATAATAAAGTGAAGTGATAACCACGAGGAAAAAAAAAGAAGAAAAAAAAGGTGTGCAATGTAATATATAACAATATCCTGTATGTAATTAAAAGTTAATTTCACAGATTTTTATTTGACTTTAATTAAAAAATGTAGACTGAGTTGAGATACATGTATCCCCAGGAAAGAAATGTGTCAGTAATTTTTAACATCAGTCAAGTAGGGATTAAAACTTGTTGACAGAAAGATTAAAAGTGTACAGTGCTATAGGAGTGTTTAAATAGACTGTCCTATATTTGATCTATTTTAACTTTGATTGGAATGTCATTTATGTGAAAATTGTACATCAAATAAAGTATGTTTAACAACCATAATCGACCTTTAACATTAAATAGTAGTACTACTGAAGGCAACCTAAATTTAAAGCGACACTGAACAGTCTGAGCTTTCACAGGAAATAGTACCAGCGTACAATGTACTATTGACCAGAAAATGAGTATGACATCATTGCAGCCATTGTGGAATTGTGACGGAGTATCAAAAATCGAAATCTGTCAACCAATGTGCAATTGTCCAAGGAACAGGCATGCCAAGTATTATGTCGATCGTACACAAATCGACAGAGCCTTAGGCTTTTGTCGTACACGTCGGCCCCAAGAAGAACAAGATGATTAGATGTTGGGGCCCAGTTCCTAGTCCAAAACTGTAAGATTGAATGATAAATCATTTAGAGGATCTAAAAATTTCAAATTAACTATAGAGTCGTTTGGAAATGACCGCTAGATTGGCTTTATGAAATTTCATTTTTCAATTGTATGAGAAGCCGATAATCACAACCACTTGACATTATAATGTCAGCAAGTATGTAGAAATAGTGATCCATGCCAGATACCCAGAAAGTGACAAATTTGGGGACCACGCAAACACCATATGGAAACGGGTAGTTTAAATTTCTTTAAAAAATATATCAAAGATTTGCGTTTGAAATAGTCTTTCAACCCATATTAACCCAATATTTTTCATCAAATATCGAAGAATGTTCCTTTAAAAGTTAAATACATTGTAAAGTCAGGTTAGAAATTTGCACACTCATACAATAAAAACTATAACCACACCCCTATTAATTGAAGAAACAAATGCCTTAAGCATATTTATAAATATAATTCCAATCGCATAAATTAATAGATCGATCATTATTTTGATAAGCTGTCTACATGTATGATAGCCTGGTTAAGTAAGATTACAAACACCGAACACACCCCTTTTATTATCATATGTTGAATTATGTACAGCATTGCACAAATCAAAGAATCAAATCTATTGACATCTTGAAACTTTAGATGGGCATTTTGAGAATATATTTATAAGTAAAACCATTAATAAGTAACATACATGTAATACATGTATTTCATGAAAGGTAGGGGAGGGGTTGGTGGCCAAATGGTCTCACGTGAGCAACTAAGAATCTAATGTCTGTCATTGAGTCAAGTGGTGACAGCTTTGATCCAACACTTGTACATGCCATGGAGCGGGAAGTAGGGAACCCTGCTTAACCTCGTAGATTACTACCCCCGGGTCCTTCAATTCCCTTCCATAGCTATAGAACCCTAAATATAAGCAAATACATAGTTCATAGTTTGTGTTGAGTAGACTCTAAACCCCATCTCTCGCTGTCTCTAATGTATTGATGGCTGAGTTGAATGTTAATGTTGACAGCTGATGAATGTGGTATAAAGGCTATTTGTACTCAAGTATCATGTATTTAGTTCAAATGAAGATTATATTACAAACTGATTAGAAACCTGAGATAAGATTATTATTCATTAGTGCTGACCACACCACTTTATGACGCAGGTACTCTTTAAAATCTTTCCAGGGATCTGTGATGGTGCTAGGGACTTAATAACATGAGAGATGAAAAAACTATCACAATTTTGTTTGTGGGTGTCTGTGTATTGGGGCAGATGGGGGGAATCATGGATGTCTTTTAAGCACACACTGTGACATACAAGTACATGTACTATATGCTAAAGGTTACTTAATAGTTAATTGAGCAAAGTTATAGTCATATACATGTAGTTCAAAGTTTGGTCAAGAAATAGCTGATTGTCAAATACCATTGCCATGATAATAAACAAAGTCAGTCTTTTTATTGAGTGATATCCATTTTAACGCTGATCGATTAAATGGAACGAATGGCCTAGTCCATTCAATATCTAAGCCACGCATGGTCTAGAGAGTTGATTATGAGCTTGTAAATATCTAGATAATAATTTATATAAAATTTGAAGCCAGAAAAAAGACCTGCAATAGGCAGATTTAGCACTTATATCTTTCAAACAATCTATGTTTTTTTTTATTTTGCAGTGTAAATATAATCCCCCCCACCCCTCCTCTGAAAATACATGAACTTTAATTGCTATTGATAATCAATAGATCTGTTGAGATATCAAATATGACTCTATAGTCTGACAACTGGTTCATATAGTCAGACTACCACAACCTTGAAGATAGGCCACCTTATCAATAAATACATGCACGCTTATAGTCTACGTGCTAGATATGTTCTATATAGGTTCATCTTCAAATCATTATCAATCCATCTGGTCCTAATATTA